GAGCATAATAAATGTTTAGTCAAAATATATTTGCTTATCCCCTCCAAAAACTTGATGACGTCAGCTCGAAAGTTTGCCGAATAAATCATATCTAAAATGTACAAAATATGATCAGCCTGTACTTGTGATCTATCACTCCATTCATATTTTTTGGATTTGCATATACAGGGTGATTAAAAAAAAATAATGAAAGCGTAAATTTATTTTACTGATTTACTCAGGAACTACAAAACCGAATGCTTTGAAATCTTGCAGATGTTTTAAGGTTATAAAGAGCATAATAAATGTTTAGTCAAAATATATCTGCTTATCCCCTCCAAAAAATTGATGACGTCAGCTCGAAAGTTTGCCGAATAACTCCTATCTAAACTGTAAAAATATGATAAGTCTGTACTTGTAATTTATCACTCCATTCATATTTTTTGGATTTGCATATACAGGGTGACTCAAAAAAATTAATGAATGCGTAAATTTATTTTATTGATTTACTCAGGAACTACAAAACCGAATTCTTTGAAATCCACTGCGAAAAAAAAAACATAATAGGCATGCAGTCGTCACGTTTCCGACAGCGAGAGAAGTACTGTCTAAACTCTTTAGACCAATTTTTTCTTTTTTCCACATCCTAGATTCTATTACTAGTTTCCAATCCCACTCCAGAGAAGAACATAATTAGCCCCGCCCACCCACCCAGCTCCTTTTCCAACAGAAATAAAATTTTATTGGCTATGAGACGAAAAGTGGATTTTATATTGACAAACAATAGTAAAATAGACTAAATGGTCAAATTAATCCCACCCACCTACGTCTGCATTTCATTACCTGATTTTATTTATTGGGAGATGAAAGTTGAATTCTATTTTGGCAAGTGGTGGAATCTAATTAAAAAAACTTAAAAGTTTGTCGAGTGACCGAATCTATGCTTATAACAATTAAAAGTGGCCCCGCCCACCCAGCCGGTATCCGTTGTAATCACTCATTTCATTGGAGAAAAAGTGGCATTTACATTGATAATACACATTGGAATATAGACAAGAAGGTAAAACTAACCCCACCCACCTCCGCTTTTGAATTTCATTGTTTTTTTTTACTAGATGAAGATTGAATTCTATTTTGTCAAGTGTCACCCAGTTTTCTTTGTAATCATTCATTTTATTGGAGAAAAAGTGTATTTTCTATTAATAACCAGTCGAATGCAGACAAAAAGGTAAAACTAACTCCACCCAGCTCCAATTTTGAATTTCATTGGCTAATTTTATTTGCTCTGAGATGAAAATTTTATTTTAGTTCGTCAAGTGGTTCAATCCAAGTTTAAAAAAATTCTAATAGTTTTTCCAAAATCGCTAATTGAAATATAGCATTTAACATTAATAATAATTATTTTTATACATAACTAAATAATTCAAATCCTGACACAGGATTCCCTAATAACTTAAAATTAAAGATATCAAATATTCATGGCTTGACAAAATAATAACATGATTACAATCAATAAAGCACTAAAATCTATTACTATAAAATAACGAAATTTAGCATTTAGATTTATGTATATTTATACATATGTAGACGAATCAAAATCGATATGTTGCTGTTGTTTGAAAATAAACCCGAGGCGGAGCCGAGAGTTAACAAGTAAGACCGAGGCGAAGCCGAGAGTAGCAATAAGACCGAAAGTGCAAAAATATTAACACCTATTGCGATCAAGTTTAATCATTTCATGAGGACTCTAATCACTTTTGCGTTTTTGAAAAAACAGCCACACAAAATGTATTTAAAAAATATGTATTGTAAAATTTGGTGTAAAAACGTTATCGAAAAAAACCCACAAACGTCAAAAATATGTAAATGATTTATTGGAAATATTTATTCATTAATAATTTATTCTAAATAAGACCGAGGCGAAGTCGAGATTTGCAATTAAACCCGAGGATGCAAGAATTTTAACACCTTCCGATATTGCTTTGTCAAACCTGATGTAATTTGACCTGACTTAACGTACTCCAACTTGAGCTGGCCTGGCCTGACTTAGCTTGACTTGACCTAAGCTAACCTAACCTTCAGGACCTGACCTGACCTGACCTAAGTGATCTAACTTAACCTTCATGACCTGACCTGATTTGACCTGGCTTGAGCTGACCTGCCTAAGCAAGCTCTAAACTACGTTTGTCTCAAATAAATCGTAGCTTTAAGGGTACGTAGGCGAAAAACCTCCCCCCGGTCGGCAGCGCCCCCGCGATAGCGGCGCACATATTTCCTATTTATTTACATGTTTTAACGTCGTTTATTGTGGCATTTAGTGAAACTATCTGCGTTCTGTGTCGGATGACGGCAAATCGATATCCCTATTCCGTGTGGATTATGCGGATACGTTTGATATGAATGAGCGGCCTTTTTATTTTTCGAACCTATATCAATGGCAAAATTATGAGGTAAATTGGGTCTGAATGGCGATAGATTGCGGTCTTCATGAGAGCGAACACATGTCATTTTAGCGGAAATGCGTCGACGTTATTAAAAAAAAAACGTTAAGGAAGGAAAACGCGAGTCTAGGCAACTAACTGGCTTAGAGTATCATGCTAGAGATTTTATTTTCTCATGACTACAGTAGAATCCTTAAGGATATAAAACCCGTTTTTATTTGCGGAACAAAATCGTCAAGAGCAGGGTCTGAGCTCGGCAGTGCGTGACACAAAGACGAATTCAAAATTCGATTCTATGACGGAGCCGGTAGAAAACAAAACAACTCGAACCCGCGAGTTTATCCTGTAAACACGATCTTCTTTGTGAATTTTCAAAGTGGGCGAAATTACGCACGGCGAACTTTTTTAAATGGGAATAATGGGAGGCGAAAAGGCCGCAAGTGCGACCGGCCGAATTGTTAAGCCCTCGCTCTATTCCAACGTCGACTTATATTTCTCGGGTGCCGGCTTGTTTAGAAGTTGGGCCTCAAAAGACGAACTCCATTTTATAGAAGTGCTTTGAAATAGAAACATCAATTTTGAAACATTGTTAGTGCTGGCTAGAGCATCATAACGTTCACTCGGCGGTCTAAATTTAAACTCTGTCGGTGGAGTTGTAGCTTACATAACTTGGAAACTTTTACTCAACACATCAAGTCATAGACAATTACACAACTTTTAGATCGATCTCGTTGCCACATTACGACTAACACACTTATTCGTTACGAGCTTTCGAATAATCGCTTAAAGCACATTTATTTGGTAATTTTTCGCGATGACGTCATTACAATTCTGGAAGGGATGCACGAATAAATGATCTGTTATGTCACGTTTTGGCGACAGATGTGCACCCTACTGTTTAATAATGATGCAACCTATTGTGGATACGTGATCCGATTACTATTAATTGCAACTTTTAGCTGCGTTTATGCAACCAATAGTGCGTCGTTACCTGTAATCCCTGCTACGTATCGCCGCACGCAATATTATCCCCGACCGAGCATCCCGAATAGACTCCTCGTTTATCCGAAATCTTATTCAACATTACGAAATCGTGATTTCGCCGAATAAATCCTGTTAGGGCTGCTTGAGCAGCACAGAGCCGGCTCAGAGCAGTACACTGAATTTGCAACCTCTCCCAATGATTTGCTAACCCAATCTTAATCTGCTCCTCTTTTTCAAAGGCAGCTTGGCACAGATCCCATTGTCATTATTCCAGCCCCCGTCAAACTCGTTCGGAAATGCACGTTTCCATTTCTCGAGATCGCGCTCTCCTTTACATTTTTCGAAGGGCCGCCGAAGGGCTTAGCGCTTTAATTATAAGCCGTTCCTGTTTGGAGACGCCGTCGACCTCAAACAAAAACAAGCCGCTCCTTTTCCAGATATCTCGACCAGAAAAATTGATTGTGATCAAAAAGCGGCTCGCCGTCAAAAACGTCAAAGGACCTCGCTAGAAAAATTCTTTTTGCTATTGTCACATGACGATCAAATGCCGCGTTTCGGGAATTAGAAAAGAACAAATCTGGTTTTATCGTAAATCTGAATTCACCGGTTCCGTCAGGAAAGCGAGCGTCCTTTTGTGGACCGACGCTCGATGTATTTCAATGGAGAAGATCGAATGCGAGGAGCAAAACTCACAACAAATAAAGTAATAAGGTGCTATTTATAAAGCTCGGGATGGAAACGGGCGCCCAATTACCGTGATGGTTCCTGGAAGGATGCAGAAATTCCAAGTGCGGCAGGGGATCGGGATGCTCCGAGTACGTGTTCATGCAGTTAATTGCGCAAATCTGTTTGACACAATTCCGAAAAAGAAACGCAAACGACGCCAATCATAAATAAACTTCGATAAAATTTAACCCACTTTTCCGGGGAAGCCACAACCTCGCAAGAATCCACGAACCTTTTAATCCGCATCCCGCCCTCCCCGCGCGCACCTGTGGCTCTCCAGCCGCCCCCAATAAATTGTTTTTTATTAAAACACATCCCATTCCGCATGCAAACCGCCGTAATCACAAGAGTTACACAAAATCGATGGCCCGACTCGGCCAAAATATATTTTGTATTATTAAAAAAAAATCGCGCAATCTTGCGGAACATGTGCCCTCGTAAACCGGAATTGCGGTCACGCCGGATTTTTTCGGCCGCCCGGATTTTTGCGGCAACTAATTAAAACGTCCGCTCACAACTAATGAAAAAATGTGCGCGAATTCCGCGCCCGCCGAATCGTCAAAACGCCATCGACGCCCCGTATCGGTAATTCCGAGTGGGGTAATGAGAGAATTTTTAATTTCGGGTAGCAAACGTTGCGTGGAGCGAGCGAGACGAACCACTATTGTGGACACAAAATAAGCGAACAACTACATTATGAAAACTTCTTTAGAAACAAAGATAATAATAAGTCAAAATTCCAATAATCAAGTTCTAAACCGTGCCCTTCCCATATTTTTGACTCCGCGTCAAATTCCGGTTTTTACCAGCCCGTTTCCGTTTGAAACAAATTTGGGAAATTTTGCCGCTTCCGGATCGCCGCAGGCCTACCTTAGGTGTCCCGGAGCATGGGTTCTTCCGGTGATAGCACAGAGCGGCGAGCACTAGCACGCGCGACTGCGAACCGGAGTTGTGGCGACTCCTCTCACAACAGACGCCCGGAGCAGACTGCGCGGAACTGCGAGTTGGAACTCGGTTTGGGCCAACTCGACCCTGATTATGAGCGGACCGCACGCGTCGGGCCCTTCGCCCTTAACGCCCGACACATCCAGGCCGATTTTACTTCTTCTTAGGACGTGGACACGGAACGGTGGAATGCTGAGCTTGCAAGTGACGTCATCAGTGCCCCAGATTGCACTATTGCACTTCAGACTAATTCCACTTCGCATTCGCAACACTCAACTAGGAATTGAAATTCGTCAGGACGATAAGACGAACCGTCTAAGTAGCACAACTAGAGCCTTAAACTCCCGCCTCGGAGCAAAATCAATTAACATTCTCATTAGTTCTTATTCACCTAAACCCACCGAGTTCGACATTAACGAGCCCGCAGCGATATATTTTTACCCAACTAGAATATTTTAATGAAATTCGAATCAAAATGCGACCTCTCCACCGAAGCATGTCCGAGTGCATCATCTCCAAAGAGTATTCGAAAAATTCACCCTTTAATTGAATTTACATACGAGCGCGTCTGAAAAATCCCCAAGATAAAAAGGGGCTTTTTTAGCCGCCATCTCTCAACTTTATCAATAAATTTGTCGCACGAAACCGAGCCGGGAACGAAACTCCGCAGCATTGATGATTCTTGAGTAAACAATTAGAGCAGTGGAGCGTAGCGGTGCATGCCAATTACAAAATAAATAGTTATATCTGCTTTATATTCAACAGGAGAGGGTTAATTATGGGACGGTCTCGCTACTTCGGCCTGCATTCGTAAAATGCGGTTTCCTGTTTGGACTGGGAATTTTTCGGGCAGGGTTTCACACTCCAAAGGACGCAATTTTTCCAACTAACATTGCGCAATCAGCTGCCACTACTACCAAGTTAAAGTAACTAAGTGGCTTTCGATTTGGGTGCGTGTTGCCAACCGACAAAATCGAACTCTTCGATATCGCTAAATAAAACGGCAGCGGGGCATCGTGAAAGCCATTATGTCATTAGTTCCATCGCAATTTCGTGCGATATAAAACGTTAGACGCGACACTTTCATTTAAAAGAAAATAAAATAAATTATCGTCGCCGTATCCTTTATCGGTACTTGAGCTGAGTTTAATGCAAATTAAATGAGACTCCTCGAGCACTTCTTATACGTATTTGTTGCAATTATTCGAGATTATTATTATTTTCTTTTTCGAAGTTTCCGGAATAAATAATGTCGAGATTTTATTATTATGTTGCTAAAAATACAGTCTGAAGTCTCTTGTGTGTAAGTAGTAACCTTCACTGTTTACAGCCACTAGCGTAAAATATGAAGCGAGATTTTAAACAGTGTGTGTTCCAAAAATAAAAATATATCTGTGAGTTATGATCTCGCGAGAGTTCTGCAAAGACATATTTTACTTAGAATATCCGCGTATATCGCCGTACCGCATAGCAGGTAGTGTAATTTGCATATTGCACTATATTATTGCTCAGTGGGAAATTAACTTTCATTAGAATTAATTAAAGCTGGAACCGTGTTTACGAGCAACTTGGAATAAAAGCATCCATTAAGGTTCATATTAGTGGTGGAAGTTTTATAATTTTACACAAAACTTCCTAATTAAGACACGGTTTAGAAGTAAACATGATCGAAATTTCTTAGTTCGGAAAAAGCAGACAAGTTTCTAGCTCGTAACTAATGCGAATGGTTTGAATTATTAATCACGTTAATAGTCGTGGCACCACAAATTCAATAAATTACGAAGTTTATTTTAAGAAATGTAATTTATAAATAAAATATCAGCACTAAAAATATAATGCTTTTACTTTGGAAATCAGAAAGAAAGTTCCAGAAGTGCTCCAAACTTCGAGCAATTGTTTGAAACCTTGAATATAATATCGTTTCTTTAGGGAGTAGAACTTTCTTATTAAACTCTTAAGGAGCAGCTTCCCGAACCGCCATAATGTTCGTAAATCTATATTTGATTATATATAGAGCACGGGCGAATAAATATAAATATGAAAATACGTTTGCTAATTTTAATTTAGAAAATACGACGTCGCCGTAATGCGAAAATAAATCCAAACTTATCTTAATTAAATCCATCGCGTCGAGCTGTAACGTATTCATTGCCGCCTTGTTGAAATGTCGATTATAACGAAACCGCTGGATTGACGTTCCGTCGCAACCAATCAGCTTCCTCCAGTCGACAAGTTCCACGATCAACAATGAGCGGCAAATCGTCACAATTAATAAACACACTGTCATTATAAATCGGGTGCGGTGTGAATCGATGCGCCATCTCTCGCCCCCACCTCCAACTTCGTTAAAAATACCGCGATACCTACCACGATCGCGCAACTAGTAATCACCTAAAAGACGCCGCATTCTTGCCCCACCCTCTTTTATTTTTCCGCAGAAAAACCCACCTCCACAATCTGATAAACCAAGACCCAAAGAAATACGCCAATTTCGAGAACGACGCACGTCAGACCTTCATCCCGTCAGACCAAAGCCTGATAAAACCCCAGATACCGCATGTATCATCATTACAGAAACACCACCTCCAACTTATAACTTTATTTCAATAAAAAATACACACTAAAATAAACACTAAATGAAATTAACTCTGAAACCCATCAGCTGGAATTTTATCCACTTTGTAGAGGTCCACGAAGAGGGCTATCGCGTTTTTCAGGTCGTAGTGGCACTCCTCTAAACACCTATGAACAAAATAACAATCATGCGTAACGATAAAAATCGGGCCGTACTTTTTCGCCCACTCCGTCGTCAAGTTGGTGATGAGCTTCATAGCGGTGATCATCTGGTTCTTCTGCTTGGAGGTTTGAGCCGGGGGTAACATCTGCGGCCGGATTGGCCGCTCGTGCTTGAAAGCTTTGACTTGTTGGGAGGTCAACGCGTTGAAGACGTGCAGCTGCTCGTTGATGATGCAGTACTCGCCGTTGATGCACTCAAGGACGAAGCAGCGGTTGAAGCCCATGACGCGCTCCACGTCGAGGATGGTCTCCGGCAGCTCCTTGAAGACGCCAGTGACCACGATTATGGCGCAGACGTCCTAAAACCCACATGGTAAAATTTTACTACTTACTAGTAGTAAGTTTTACTGAAAAATGGGTGAGGTCCACCGTGAATGAATACGGGTCGTGCTCGGAAGTGGGTAACAAGTTTAACAGGTCTATAATGGCTTTATTTCCTTGTTGTAAATTTAATTCGCTCCGAGATAAGTCTGCTAAAGATAATAAGTTTCTGGAGTGAGTTTTGTAGCGCTTAAGTCTGAAACAAACGTCAAGTAATCTTGGAAAAATACAAAATTAAAGCATACTGCGCAGTCGCGGAAGATAACTGCATCGATTGATATTCCGCCGTCAACGAAAAGAGGGCGTTGGGGTGGTATAAAGACGTCAACATCGCTCGATTATTGGAATCATAAGAAGTAAAATAGTACTCCAAAAACTGGTCAACTAAATCGTGACCAGAACTATCACACAAGAAGTTTCTTCTAAATGATGGAAACCCGTTCTGTTTTAGTAAAATTCCATCCTAAAATACACATTTACAAAAGAAATCTAACTAATTTTTTACTGACAAGTCTCTCAATTTTAGGACAATATTCCTTAATTCTTTGAATATAAGTATGTTCGTCGTAATTGTCGCACAGAGGGTTCCCTTCCAACCACAACTCAGTTATTTTTAGCTGAGTCAACGGCTCAAGTTCAGTCAAACTCATAATCTAAAAACGAAAATCATTATTTGACAGTTTTAATTACAAACAACCAACCAAATTGTTTCTTAGGTCCAAACTAGTCACGTTCACCCCCCACAAAGCCTCCATGGGAACCAAACTCCTGATTTCGTTATTACTCAAAATAAGCGACTTTGGTTTAGACAGCCTTGACAAGTGCAACACATAGGACATCAGCTTTGGTTGAGACAACACACAGAACTCAGTCAAGTCCGGATCTTGGTAAAAATTCTCCAAATTCACCGTCGCCGTAGCGGTGTTAGTCCTCCTGCGCAAAACCTTGGAAATGTTCTTGGAAACGTCAATTTTCACGTCGTTCGTGGTCGAAAAGCGCAAAATAATATTGAGCTTGAACTAAAATTGAAAATTAAAATATAATGATAAAACTGACGAATGTGCTGCTACAGGCTGGTTCTTGACATAAGGATTATCGATAATCAGGTTATCTCGGCCGATTTTTTCAATCGCGGCCCCACAATTCCGCGCCAGAAACGACGCGACATTCCCATCCTTGACAAAGTAGATTGGAATCAAATCCAGGGGTTGGACGTGGTCGAGGATGGTTTTCAAGATCAACTCCTTGCTAAAGTCTTCGGCGTTATTCACCTAGAAACGAAACGAAACTGTGACTGCCAAATTTGAACGTGCGTACGACTTACTATAAACTTGTGCCAGTAAGTGGGGTTTTCTAGGACTTCCTTGTTCTTGTAAACCACGCCGCTTTGGAGCGTGTAGTCGTTAATCATCACGGCTAACGGATTTTGGCGGATTTTCCGGATGTCCAGGTTGGTTACAGCTTGGGAGTCGCTCGTCGTGAAAATTGAAGCCATTTTGAGGTTATGACACTTCACAAAAAACAAGTTTGCAGGGTGATTATAAAATTAGCACAATTAGGGCTTCTAAAACTGGCTGAGACGGTTTTTGTTAAATTGGGAAGGAAAAACTTATTACGGTGCTGATAAAGATAAACAAACTGTTGCGCGGTGGACTTGGCGCAAGTTTGGTCTTGACAGGTGTATAACTGGTTGCCTACGTTTACGTGTAATCACGTGTAATCGTTATCACAGTGATAAAATTAACGCGATTTTTTTTTAATAATTGACAAATAATAACGTTGTTTTTGTAATTAGTAAACGAAATTTTAGTTAAGCTAGTCGGAGTTAAATTTAGTTTATTTTTTCGCGTTTCATATTTGGGTGGTTGGCAATGCCCCGCTAGTCGTGTTGGCAGCGCCAAAATTTGAAACAGATGTCAAACGAAATGCGCATCGCACGTGTCTCCTGTTATCAGTTATGATTATTCATAATGCAAGTGCGAGTGATAAGAATTATTTTAGTAACTAGTGAGTAGTGGTTAATAAAATTCCCAAAACAGCACCACCGATGTAAACATTTACCGGTAAAACACGCACTTTTGATTTTTTTTTTCATGACTTAGTAACGTTTTGATCTTTATCTTTATCACACTTTGACTCTATAGCAGGCATTTCAATGTCCACAGTCACACCTAAGTTTGAGTTATGGCCCTACGAACTACTGCTCAGTCCCCCAACTCCATCACAATCGACGAAGCGCACTTGGGGCTGGTCCCCACGAACAAGCTCGCTCTAGATATTCCAGCGTACTGGCACAAGTTCATAGTAAGCATTTTCTTTTATCACACTTTGTGCTTAAAACGCATTTTAGATTAGTAACGTTCACGGCTTGAAGCGCAACGACGTGCTAAAAATACTCTTTGATTACCTGAAACCGCTAGAGTTTATTCCGCTGTGTTACACTGAAGACGCTGAAGGGGCTTTTTTCTTCGCTCGGATGTGCGCAGACCCTGTCGAAAAATTCTGCAGTGACAAGCTCACCATACCCAACCCGTCCGACGAAACCCAGCCTGTAAGCCCCCAGAATCACCAAACAGCGACTTTATTATCGTTTTCAGTTCAAACTGACAATCGTCCTCAAATATTCCAGCACCAATATGGTGAAAGTCGACTTGACGGAAAACCTGTTGAGCGTGCTGCAAAAACGCTTCAAAAACAAAAATCTGTGTCTAGATAAGTTTCACGACGACGCAGACTTGAGCGAATTTTTTTTCTTGTCGCAGCCCAAATTGCTAGCTTTTGTTTTAAACGTGGCGAAAAATTTGAAACCTGGGGGTATCAAGTTGAGTAATAACGAAATCGAGACTTTGGACGCGTTCCAAATTATGCGCTCTGGGAGCATCACGTCTTTGGATTTGAGGCAAAACTTGGTGGGTGTGGGTTTGTAGTGGAAGCGTGTTAATGCGGTTTTTGCAGCTCAGAGATCTAGCCGAATTGGAGTATTTGCAGCATTTTAATTTGACTGAACTGTGGCTGGAAGGGAACCCTCTGTGTGATTTGTACGACGAGTACAACTACGTCCAACAAGTGATTAAGTATTGCCCCAAAATCGAAAAACTTGTAATACGGGAGACATTCATTGTTGTTATTTTTAATGTAGATTTTTACAGGACGGTTTTTTGCTTAGACAGAACGGGGTTCCGTCGTTTAGGAGGAATTTCTTGTGCGACGTGTCGGCGTACGAAGTCGTAAACCACTTTCTAGAGCGATATTTCCCGACGTACGATTCTAAAAATTTCATCAAACTGGAGACGTTCTACCAAAAAGATGCCTTATTTTCGTTGACTGCCGATTTCTTCCACAAACAGCTGTCTTCCCCTAGCTCCCAGTACCCACGAAAAATCGTAACGGCGTAAGATTAAAATCGTGATTTTAGGGTGTTCGCGTACAAAATTTATTCCCGGAATTTGCTGCTCCCGCCTCACGATAGTACAAGAAATTTGTATATAGGTAGTACCGAAATTATGAGACTGTTTAATATTTTACCGCGGTCGGAGCACGACCCGTATTCTTTCACGGTGGACGTTTTATACCACACGGTAAATAATAATACGTTGGTTAGCAACAACAAAATATAAAGAGGGTCAATTTCAGCACAAATGTATTACTTTGGTTGTGACCGGAGTCTTCCGGGAGATCCCCAACACGGAACGAATGTTGGGCTTCAATCGATACTTCGTTCTGGAGTGTCGCGACTACACCTATCGCATCGCCAACGAACAAATGCACGTTTTCAATGCTCTCACGTCGCAACAGATCAGTGCGTTCAAAAAACCGAGTATTTTCCAAGAAGCGCGAAGTCCATTTCAGCGGAGTCAGATGGTCGACACCTTCGCGATTATCACAAATCTTACCAAAGACTGGGCCAAAATGTGATTATTTTTTGTTACTGAAGAAGATCTAGAGGTGATTGAGATGTTTCAGGTTTCTAGAAGAGTGCCATTACAACCTGAAGCACGCCATGTTGCTTTTCGTTGATATGTACAAAGGTGATAAAATCCCGTTGAGGGGATTTAAGAATGCGGATGAAGCATGACAGTATTATTGTTGATTTGGATTGTTTGAAGATATTGTTTATTGCAATAAATGTTTCTGTCGTTTCTCGGCGTTTTTGTTATTACTAATTCGTTTTCTGTCTGTAAATTCACAGTTCAGGTTAGGATATTAATCGTTAAGTGGTGCTAACAAATTTAACATCTATTAGATTTATTTAGATAAACGCTCACTAGAAGATATCATGAAATCCACTAATAGTCAGGATTCAGTCTTTTGTTTAACAAAGTTACGAATAACGTTTCTGGATGCACAAAACAAATTGTTTTAAGTAACCAATCACTTGTATCATGGCATAATGTAACATATAAATTCTTTGTTTGAATCGTTGATAAAGTGTGGCAAATATTGATCTCACGTAAATTTGTTAGCCTTGGAATTTTCCCCTCATCAATATTTCTCTATCAGTAATTTTCTTTGTTTTATAATTTAAATTGAACGTAAACTTTCATGCGCTGCTGTTTCTAACCTCACGTAAGATTTTACCTTCACAACTTTATTTCACACCAGAGCTTTTGTTTTTATAAATGCTACTTTTTTTGTAAATATTTTGTTGATGAACGTTTCTATCCAAAGTAAAATATAAACCCCGCCCACCCACCCTATCTCAATTCTGATGATTTTCTTTTTAATCGTCGACAGCCACAGGACCGGAATTTAATTGTAAAATCCGTACTATTTCTCTACAAAAAACTACCATGTAAGACATCTTTTTGATTATCGGACTATTCAAAGAATACTAAATGTATGTACATATACATATTAAGAAAAAAGCTTTAAGTTTATAACAATAAAAAAGTTATCACAATTGAGATGCACAGTTTTCTTTGAACAACACGATACTCAAAGACATGTTTTTAATTTCGTGAAAGAAATAAGTATTTTCCAGTTAAACTCCGCCCCCTTGGTTCACGGCGAATAAAAAGTCGTCACAATTGAGACTGGGTGGGTGGGTGGGCAGACATTTTGTCATTTTGTTTGAATATGTGTAGACTTCTTTTCACAACATGAAACTTAAAACAAGTTTGAAATGGTAAATTTGTGTAGGGAAATATCGATTTTGTAATTAGGCCCCGCCCCATAATTGCAAAATCCCTATTTCCTTGCAAAAACATACCATTTTAACCTTGTTCTTGTTGTGAAAAGATGGCTATGTATAGTAAGAAAAAAGGCAAAATATATGCCCCGCCCACCCACCCTATCTCAATTCGGATGATTTTTTTTATTCGTCGTAAGCCTCGTTGTAAAATTCTTATTTTTCTACGAGAAATTACCGTGTGAAATATGTTCTTAAGTAATCGTGTTATACAAAGAAAACTAAATGTATTAATTAAAAAAGAAAAGTAGAAGAGAAGCCCCACCCATCCGTCTCGGTCTCAATCGGGATGAATTTTTCATTTGTTGTCAGACCGAGGGGCGGAGCTTATTTGCAAAATCGATATTTCTCTATACAAATTACCATTTTAAACATGTTTTAAGTTTCTCGTTCTGAAAAGACGACTACGTATATTAAGGAAAAAGGAAAAATATAAGCCCCGCCCACCCACCCTGTCTCAATTCTGATGATTTTTTTTAATCGTCGACAGCCACAGGAGCGGAATTTAATTGCAAAATCCGTATTATTTCTCTACAAAAAACTACCATGTAAGACATGTTTTTGACTATCGGACTATTTGAAGAATACTAAATGTATGTACATACTTATTTATTAAGAAAAAATTAAAGCCTGCCCTGATCTAAATAGTAAAGAAGCTTTAAGTTTCTAACAAAAAAAAAATATCACAGTTCAGATGGGGTGGCCGGGCGGGGTTTGTATTTTGTCTTTTTTTTCTCTCTTAATATGCACAGTATTCTTTGAACAAAACGATACTCAAAGGCATGTTTTTAATTTCTTGAAAGAAATAAGTATTTTCCAGTTAAGCTTCGCCCTCTTGGTTCACGGCGAATAAAAAAATCGTCAAAATTGAGACTGGGTGGGTGGGTGGGCTGACATTTTGCCATTTTGTTTGAATATGTGTAGACTTCTTTTCACAACATGAAACTTAAAACAAGTTCAAAATGGTAAATTTGTATAGGAAAATATCGTTTTTGGAATCAGGCCCCGCCCCTTAATTGCAAAATCCCTATTTCCTTGCAAAAACATATACCATTTTAACCTGGTTTTTGTTATGAAAAGATGGCTATGTATAGTAACAAAAAAGCCAAAATATAAGCCCCGCCCGCCCACCCTATCTCAATTCGGATGATTTTTTTTATTCGTCGTAAGCCTCGTTGTAAAATTCTTATTTTTCTACGAGAAATTACCGTGTGAAATATGTTCTTAACTAATCGTGTTATACAAAGAAAACAAAACGTATTAATTAAAAAAGAAAACTAGAAGAGAAGCTCCACCCATCCGTCTCGGTCTCAATCGGGATGAATTTTTCATTTGTTGTCAGACCAAGGGGCGGAGCTTATTTGCAAAATCGATATTTCCCTATACGAATTACCATTTTAAACATGTTTTAAGTTTTTTGTTCTGACAAGACGACTAAGTATATTAAGGAAAAAGGAAAAATATAAGCCCCGCCCACCCACCCTGTCTCAATTCTGATGATTTTTTTTTTAATCGTCGATAGCCACAGGAGCGGAATTTAATTGCAAAATCCGTATTATTTCTCTACAAAAAACTACCATGTAAGACATGTTTTTGACTATCGGACTATTCAAAGAATACTAAATGTATGTGCTTATATATTAAGAAAAAATTAAAGCCTGCCCTTATCTAAATAGTAAAGAAGCTTTAAGTTTCTAACAAAAAAAATTATCACGATTGAGATTGGGTGGGCGGGCGGGGTTTATATTTTGTCTTTTTTTTTTCTTAATATGCACAGTATTCTTTGAACAACACGATACTCAAAGACATGTTCTTAATTTCGTGAAAGAAATAAGTATTTTCCAGTTAAGCTCCGCCCTCTTGGTTCACGGCGAATAAAAAAAATCGTCACAATTGAGACTGGGTGGGTGGGTGGGCTGAAATTTTGTCATGTTGTTTGAATATGTGTAGACTTCTTTTCATAACATGAAACTTAAAACAAGTTCAAAATGGTAAATTTGTATATGAAATTATCGTTTTTGGAATTAGGCTCCGCCCCATAATTGCAAAATCCCTATTTCCTTGCAAAAACATTCCATTTTAACCTTGTTCTTGTTGTGAAAAGATGGCTATGTATAGTAAGAAAAAAAACAAAATATAAGCCCCGCCCACCCACCCTATCTCAATTCGGATGATTTTTTTTATTCATTGTAAGCCTCGCTGTAAAATCCTTATTTTTCTACGAGAAATTAGCGTGTGAAATATGTTGTTAAGTAATCTTGTTATACAAAGAAAACTAAATGTATTAAGTAATTAAAAAAGAAAACTAGAAGAGAAGTCCCACCCATCCGTCTCGGTCTCAATCGGGATGAATTTTTCATTTGTTGTCAGACCTAGGGGCGGAGCTTATTTGCAAAATCGATATTTCCCTATACAAATTACCATTTTAAACATGTTTTAAGTTTCTTGTTCTGAAAAGGCGACTACGTATATTAAGGAAAAAGGAAAAATATAAGCCCCGCCCACCCGCCCTATCTCAATTCTGATGATTTTTTCTAATCGTCGACAGCCACAGGAGCGCAATTTAATTGCAAAATCCGTACTATTTCTCTACAAAAAACTACCATGTAAGACATGTTTTTGATTATCGGACTATTCAAAGAATACTAAATGTATGTACATATATTAAGAAAAAATTAAAGCCTGCCCTGATCTAAATAGTAAAGAAGCTTTAAGTTTCAAACAAAACAAAAATTATCACAATTGAGATGGGGTGGACGGGCGGGTTTATATTTTGTCTTTTTTTTTACTTAATATGCACAGTATTCTTTGAACAACACGATACTCAAAGACATGTTTTTAATTTCGTGAAAGAAATAAGTATTTTCCAGTTAAGCTCCGCCCCCTTGGTTCACGGCGAATAAAAAAATCGTCACAATTGAGACTGGGTGGGTGGGTGGGCTGACATTTTGTCATTTTGTTTGAATATGTGTAGACTTCTTTTCACAACATGAAACTTAAAACAAGTTCAAAATGATAAATTTGTATAGGAAAATATCGTTTTTGGAATTAGGCCCCGCCCCATAATTGCAAAATCAATATTTCCTTGCAAAAACATACCATTTTAACCTTGTTCTTGTTGTGAAAAGATGGCTATGTATAGTAAGAAAAAAAAGCCAAAATATAAGCCCCGCCCACCCACCCTGTCTCAGTTTTGATGATTTTTTTTTATTCGTCATAAGCTTCGTTGTAAAATTTTTATTTTTCTACGAATAATTAGCGTGTGAAATATGTTCTTAAGTAATCGTGTTATACAAAGAAAATTAAATGTATTAATTAAAAAAGAAAACTAGAAGAAAAGCCCCACCCATCCGTTTCGATCTCAATCGGGATGAATTTTTCATTTGTTGTCAGACAGAGGGGCGGAGCTTAATTGCAAAATCGATATTTCCCTATACAAATTTACCATTTTAAACATGTTTTAAGTTTCTTGTTCTGAAAAGACGACTACGTATATTAAGGAAAAAGGAAAAATATAAGCCCCGCCCACCCACCCTATCTCAATTCTGATGATTTTTTTTTATCGTCGACAGCCACTGGAGCGGAATTTAATTGCAAAATCCGTATTATTTCTCTACAAAAAATTACCATGTAAGACAGGTTTTTGACTATCGGACTATTCAAAGAATACGAAATGTATGTACTTATATATTAAGAAAAAATTAAAGCCTGCCCTGATCTAAATAGTAAAGAAGCTTTAAGTTTCTAACAAAAAAAAAATTATCACAATTGAGATGGGGTGGGCGGGCGGGGTTTATATTTAGCCTTTTTTTTTCTTAATATGCACAGTATTCTTTGAACAACTCGATACTCAAAGACATGTTTTTAATTTCGTGAAAGAAATAAGTATTTTCCAGTTAAGCTCCGCCCCCTTGCTTCACGGCGAATAAAAAAAATCGTCACAATTGAGACTGGGTGGGTGGGTGGGCTGACATATTGTCATTTTGTTTGAATATCTGTAGACTTCTTTTCACAACATGAAACTTAAAACAAGTTCAAAATGGTAAATTTGTATAGGAAAATATCGTTTTTGTAATTAGGCCCCGCCCCATAATTGCAAAATCCCTATTTCCTTGCAAAAACATACCATTTTAACTTTGTTCTTGTTGTGAAAAGATGGCTATGTATAGTAAGAAAAAAAAACAAAATATACGCCCTGTCCAGCCACCCTATCTCAATTCGGATGATTTTTTTTATTCGTCGTAAGCTTCGTTGTAAAATTCTTATTTTTCTACGAGAAATTACCGTGTGAAATATGTTCTTAAGTAATCGTGTTATACAAAGAAAACAAAACGTATTAATTAAAAAAGAAAACTAGAAGAGAAGCCCCACCCATCCGTCTCGGTCTCAATCGGGATGAATTTTTCATTTGTTGTCAGACCGAGGGGCGGAGCTTATTTGCAAAATCGATATTTCCTTATACAAATTACCATTTTAAACATGTTTTAAGTTTCTTGTTCTGAAAAGACGACTACGTATATTAAGGAAAAAGGAAAAATATAAGCCCCGCCCACCCACCCTATCTCAATTCTGATGATTTTTTTTTATCGTCGACAGCCACAGGAGCGGAATTTAATTGCAAAATCCGTATTATTTCTCTACAAAAAACTACCATGTAAGATATGTTTTTGACTATCGGATTATTCAAAGAATACTAAATGTATGTACTTATATATTACCTAAGAAAAAATTAAAATCTGCCCTGATCTAAATAGTAAAGAAGCTTTGAGTTTCTAACAAAAAAAAATTATCACACAATTGAGATGGGGTGGGCGGGCGGGGTTTATGTTGTCTTTTTTTTCTTAATATGCACAGTATTCTTTGAACAACACGATACTCAAAGACATGTTTTTAATTTCTTGAAAGAAATAAGTATTTTCTAGTTAAGCTCCGCCCCCTTGGTTCACGGCGAATAAAAAAATCGTCACAATTGAGACTGGGTGGGTGGGTGGGCTGACATGTTGTCATTTTGTTTGGATATCTGTAGACTTCTTTTCACAACATGAAACTTAAAACAAGTTCAAAATGGTAAATTTGTATAGGGAAATATCAATTTTGCAATTAGGCTCCGCCCCATAATTGCAAAATCCCGATTTCCTTGCAAAAACATACCATTTTAACCTTGTTCATGTTGTAAAAAGATGGCTATGTATAGTAAGAAAAAAGCCAAAATATAAGCCCCGCCCACCCACCCTGTCTCAGTTTTGATGATTTTTTTTTATTCGTCATAAGCTTCGTTGTAAAATTTTTATTTTTCTACGAATAATTAGCGTGTGAAATATGTTCTTAAGTAATCGTGTTATACAAAGAAAATTAAATGTATTAATTAAAAAAGAAAACTAGAAGAAAAGCCCCACCCATCCGTTTCGATCTCAATCGGGATGAATTTTTCATTTGTTGTCAGACAGAGGGGCGGAGCTTAATTGCAAAATCGATATTTCCCTATACAAATTTACCATTTTAAACATGTTTTAAGTTTCTTGTTCTGAAAAGACGACTACGTATATTAAGGAAAAAGGAAAAATATAAGCCCCGCCCACCCACCCTATCTCAATTCTGATGATTTTTTTTTATCGTCGACAGCCACTATAGCGGAATTTAATTGCAAAATCCGTATTATTTCTCTACAAAAAATTACCATGTAAGACAGGTTTTTGACTATCGGACTATTCAAAGAATACGAAATGTATGTACTTATATATTAAGAAAAAATTAAAGCCTGCCCTGATCTAAATAGTAAAGAAGCTTTAAGTTTCTAACAAAAAAAAAATTATCACAATTGAGATGGGGTGGGCGGGCGGGGTTTATATTTAGCCTTTTTTTTTCTTAATATGCACAGTATTCTTTGAACAACACGATACTCAAAGGCATGTTTCTAATTTCGTGAAAGAAATTAGTATTTTCCAGTTAAGCTTTGGTTCACGGCGAATAAAAAAAATCGGCACAATTGAGACTGGGTGGGTGGGTGGGCTGACATATTGTCATTTTGTTTGAATATCTGTAGACTTCTTTTCACAACATGAAACTTAAAACAAGTTCAAAATGGTAAATTTGTATAGGAAAATATCGTTTTTGGATTAGGTCCCGCCCCATAATTGCAAAATCCCTATTTCCTTGCAAAACATACCATTCTAACCTTGTTCATGTTGTAAAAAGAAGACTATGTATAATAAGAAAAAAGCTAAAATATAAGCCCCGCCCGCCCTCCCTATCTCAATTCGGATGATTTTTTTTATTCGTCGTAAGCCTCGTTGTAAAATTCTTATTTTTCTACGAGAAATTACCGTGTGAAATATGTTCTTAAGTAATCGTGTTATACAAAGAAAACTAAATGTATTAATTAAAAAAGAAAACTAGAAGAGAAGCCCCACCCATCCGTCTCGGTCTCAATCGGGATGAATTTTTCATTTGTTGTCAGACCGAGGGGCGGAGCTTATTTGCAAAATCGATATTTCCCTATACAAATTTATCATTTTAAACATGTGTTAAGTTTCTTGTTCTGAAAAGACGACTACGTATATTAAGGAAAAAGGAAAAATATAAGCCCCGCCCACCCACCCTATCTCAATTCTGATGATTTTTTTTTAATCGTCGACAGCCACAGGAGCGGAATTTAATTGCAAAATCCGTATTATTTCTCTACAAAAAACTACCATGTAAGACATGTTTTTGACTATCGGACTATTCAAGGAATACTAAATGTATGTACTTATATATTAAGAAAAACTTAAAGCCTGCCCTGATCTAAATAGTAAAGAACCTCAAGTTTCTAACAATAAAAAAGTTATCACAATTGAGACGGGGTGGGTGGGCGGGGTTTATATTTTGTCTTTTTTTTTACTTTATATGCACAGTATTCTTTGAACAACACGATACTCAAAGGCATGTTTTTAATTTCTTGAAAGAAATAAGTATTTTCCAGTTAAGCTCCGCCCTCTCGGTTCACGGCGAATAAAAAAAATCGTCACAATTGAGGCTGGGTGGGTGGGTGGGCTGACATTTTGTCGTTTTGTTTGAATATGTGTAGATTTCTTTTCACAACATGAAACTTAAAACAAGTTCAAAATGGTAAATTTGTATAGGGAAATATCGTTTTTGGAATTAGGCTCCGCCCCATAATTGCAAAATCCCTATTTCCTTGCAAAAACATACCATTTTAACCTTGTTCATGTTGTGAAAAGATGGCTATGTATAGTAAGAAAAAAGCCAAAATATAAGCCCCGCCCACCCACCCTATCTCAATTTGGATGATTTTTTTTATTCATTGTAAGCCTCGCTGTAAAATCCTTATTTTTCTACGAGAAATTACCGTGTGAAATATGTTCTTAAGTAATCGTGTTATACAAAGAAAACTAAATGTATTAATTAAAAAAGAAAACTAGAAGAGAAGCCCCACCCATCCGTCTCGGTCTCAATCGGGATGAATTTTTCATTTGTTGTCAGACCGAGGGGCGGAGCTTAATTGCAAAATCGATATTAAAATTTATCATTTTAAACATGTGTTAAATTTCTTGTTCTGAAAAGACGACTACGTATATTAAGGAAAAAGGAAAAATATAAGCCCCACCCACCCACCCTATCTCAATTCTGATGATTTTTTTTTATCGTCGACAGCCACAGGAGCGGAATTTAATTGCAAAATCCGTATTATTTCTCTACAAAAAACTACCATGTAAGACATGTTTTTGACTATCGGACTATTCAAAGAATACTAAATGTATGTACTTATATATTAGGAAAAAATTAAAACCTGCCCTGATCTAAATAGTAAAGAAGCTTTAAGTTTCTAACAAAAAAAAATATCACAATTGAGATGAGGTGGGTGGTGAGTGTCATCAAAATTCCAAAAACAACATCTTTGGAAATTTCCCGGACTGTTTATTCATATCAATCACAGCAAAATTATATTATGAAAAACTCACTCGACACATGCACACATGCTTTTTTAAATTTTAACACCTCGCATGTAAACCAATTTCTAAGCGACCACACCCATTATTAATTTTAATTGCCAAAACAAACACTTCATGTTGACAGTTTTAACTTAAAAAATGTTACGACTTTCAAAAATCTTGCCGAGCGTAGCAAGATGCGTCCGAAATTTGCAGCCCCGTTTGATGTATTCTTCGGTAAGCCGCAGCCTTGTGAAGCCAAACCAACCCACACACTTTTGCAGAAAAACAAAGACAAAAAGGAGAAAAAAAGTGATATTAGGGTCACCGACCACTTCTACGACTGTCTAATAATCGGCGCCGGAGGCGCCGGCTTACGCGCCGCCTACGGCTTGGTCTCCAAGGGCTTCAACGTCGCCGTGGTCAGCAAAATCTTCCCCACCAGATCCCACACCGTGTCCGCCCAAGGCGGGATCAACGCAGCCTTAGGCAACTACGAGCCCGACAACTGGTACTGGCACTTCTTCGATACCGTGAAAGGTTCCGACTGGCTGGGGGACCAAGACGCTATACACTACATGACCCGTGAAGCCCCTAAGGCTATTTTCGAGTTGGAGAACTGCGGCATGCCGTTCTCTCGGTTTAAAGACGGGAAGATTTACCAGCGGGCCTTCGGGGGGCAGTCTTTGGACTGCGGTAAAGGGGGCCAGGCGCATAGAACCTGCGCTGCCGCCGACAGCACCGGTCAGTACATGCTGCACGCCCTGTATGGTCAGGCGGTCCGCTACGACTGCCGCTTCTTCGTCGAGTACTACGCGCTGGATTTGATTATGACCGAGGAGAGGTGCTGCGGGGCGATCGTGTGGGAACTGGGGGAAGGAACCTTCCATAGGTTTTTCGCCAGGAACACGGTCCTAGCGACGGGAGGGGCCGAAAGGTCGTACTTTTCGTGCACAGCGGCGCACTCCTCAACCGGCGATGGCACGGCGTTAGCGACAAGAGCCGGGATACCCTTACAGGATATGGAGTTCGTGCAGTTCCACCCGACAGGTATATATGGGGTTGGTGTTCTGGTGACGGAGGGAGCGCGTGGTGAAGGGGGCGTCATCACCAATAGTAAAGGAGAGCGCTTCATGGAGAAGTACGCCCCGTCGGCGAAAGACTTGGCGTCCAGGGACGTGGTATCCAGGAGCGCCACTATGGAGATTCTAGAAGGAAGAGGTGTGGGTCCGGAGAAAGACCACGTGCACTTGGAGTTGATGCACTTGCCGAAGGAACACATCAGGAAGCAGCTGCCTGGGATTAGTAATACCGTAGCTGGGTTTACAGGCCGGGACGTTACTAAAGAACCAATCCCTATAATACCCACTGTACACTACAACATGGGGGGTATCCCGAGCAACTACAAAGGACAGGTCGTTACGCAGCTGGTAATCACTCTATTGTTATAACAGTCGCCCCCAAGTATCTCGATTGTAGCCTGACCAATCCGAGCAAGTCGTTTGCGGTCTCTACTGTTGCGGCGAGTGCGCATGCGTCTCAGTCCACGGCGCCAACAGACTCGGAGCCAACTCACTCCTCGAAACCGTCATTTTCGGCCGAGCCGTTGCTGACACCATCGCCGATTTAAACAAACCAGGAGACGATATCCCGCAGGCCGAAGAGGTACACCCACGAGTACTCACCCAGATTTTTAAATTCGCTGTTTTAGTGGATGGGTGTGCCCGCCATGGACAATTTCGAGAAACTGCGCCAGCAAAGGGGTACCCGGACCGTGGGAGACCTGCGCCTCGAGTTACAAAAAACCATGCAAAAGTATGCGGGAGTGTTTCGTAACCAGGAACTACTAGCTGAAGGGTGCGTCAAGGTTTTCGATCTCTACAAAGAGTTGAAAAACGTGTCGGTGTGCGACGACTCTCTCATTTGGAACTCGGATCTCGTGGAAGCTCTAGAGTTACAAAATCTTTTTATCAATTCGCTGCACATGATTCGGTCTATGGAGCAAAGGAAGGAGTCGCGTGGCGCGCATGCGCGGGACGATTTTAAGGTATGCAGCTACGCCATTGTTTAAGTATATTATAGTTGGACAACCTAATCCAAATTTTACTTCGCCTAAATAGTGAGCTTTATGACAAGGAATCCAGGGGGCGTGGGACAAATTTTTCGTCAACGCGCATTTTCACTGTTAGATTTATTTTACTCTACATCTGATGGCGCCATCAAACATTAGCAAAGGCAAACACCCTTCACTCTGCTCTTATACGAGGAGTTATCCATAAATCCATAATTAACATTGTTCCGTAAACAGTAATGTGTATAAACATATATGTACAAAATATGAAAATATACTTGACATAAAAAATATGAAGCAATGCGTTGTAACGTGATACGAAAGAATTGTATTTAAATGAATTTGACGCCTATTTTTATTTGACTAATATCTGAAGACTGACAGAAACTGACCAAGGGTTTTTTAACTGGTATAATTGTTTAGTTTTACAAGATTAAAGTAAAACAAGATTTTAAGTAAAATTTAGATTCGTGGTGTTACAAAAATATTAACACAAAATGAAAATATATATTCAAAGTAAATAACAGAATGACATAAATTGTCGGCGTTGACATTACAAATAATTCCAAGACAGAAAAAAATGCATGAAGAACTTAAGAGGCATGTTTGTAATATCGAGTTGTTAAAGGTTGCTTTGAAGACTGTTTGTTTCTATGAAAATCAATTGCTGATATTCGACGTTGTGGTAGATTTTCTTTCAAAAATACGAGATAACTAATTGTTTCTTGAAGTAGTTTCCGTAACTTCTAAAATTTAAAAAGGACACGCCGTTCTGCTCTAATAAAATGTAGAATAAGGTCAAAATCACACTAATATTACATCTGATTTTGTCAACCACATGAATATAATTTTAATGTAAATAAGTTACAGACATTATTTGAAATGTTTATTATATTTCGAAAACAAGATAAAATAAATAAATAAATAAATAAAATATGGAAAAAAAAAATCAACATTTTCCAATTTATAATGTTATTTAAATTTTAAAAAGTAGCGTAGTTCTGATTTATAAATACGCTATTGAGATTTTTCGGCTTGTCGATTTCTCGATTTTTCAACTTTAAATCTCTCAATTTTTCAATATTTCAATTTTGGGTTTCTCCGATTCTTCCATTCTTCAAATTTTCTATTTATCGATTTTTTTATTTTTCGATTTCTCAATCTTTCGATGTTTCAATGATACGATTTCTCAATTTTTGTCGTCTTCAATTTTACGGTTTTTAAATATTTCGATTTTTCAATTTTTCAAATTTTCACGTTTCTAAATTTTCAGTTTGCCGATTTCTAAAATATTTTTTTTATTTGCCCATTTCTGGACTTCCTAAAGTTTCGATTTTTCACACCTTCAATTCTTCAATTTTTCGATTTTTTAAGATTACGATTTTTCGATTTTGCTGTTTTAGATTTTCGATTTCTCAATTTTCCAATTTTTTAATTTCTCAATTTTTTGAATATTTCTTTCAGTTATGAGATTTTTCAATATTTCAATTTTTCGACTTTGCGATTTTTGAATTGATGGATTTTTTTTGATTTATCGATTTTTTACTTTTTGGATTTTCAATTTATTATAAACTTTAGATTTTTCAATTCTGCGACTGTTTAATGTTTCGATTTCTCAATTCTTCAATTTTTCGATGTTTTAATATTTCATTTTTTAAAATTCTAGGTTTTTCGATATCTCGAGTTTTCAATTCTTCTATATTTCAATTTTTCAATTTTTCGATTTTTTTAATTTTAATTTTCGATTTTCCAGTTTTTCTTTTTTAAAATTTTTCGATTATTCAATTTTTTAATTTCTCAATTTATCGAATTCAGATGTTTCGTGGTTTTGATTGTTCACTTTCTCAATTTTTCAATTTTTAACTTTCCTTTTCGGCTTCCGACTCCTCAATTTCTCGATCCTCCAATTTTTCGATTTCTTGAAGTCTCAGTTTTTGAATTTTTCGATGTTTAGATTTTTGTATTTCTCGGTTTTTCGATTTTTTTCTTTTGAGCTTTCAATTTCTGGATTTTCCAATTTTTCAATGTCCCGATTTTTCAATTTTTCAAATTGAATTGGATTTCTCGATTCTTCAATTTTGCGATATTTTAATTATTCAATGTTTTAAATTTTAGATTTTTCGATTTCTCGATTTTTGACTTTTCAGTTCTTCAGTATTTAAATTTTTCAAATTTTTGCGTTAAATTTTCAGTTTTCTGATTTCTCAATTAATCTGTTTTTGATTTTCCCGCTTCTCAAAGTTTCTTCAATTCTTCGATTTTTCGACTTCGCTTTATTGGTTTTTAGATTTCTCAATTTTTGGATATTTCTTTCAGTTTTGATATTTTTCAATACTTCGATTCTTTGATTTTTCGACTTCTAGATTTTTCTATTTTTTATTTTTGGATTTTCAGTTTTTCGTTTTTTATACTTTGGATTTTCCAATTTTCCGATTGTTTTATATTTCAATTTCTCAATTTTTCAACTTTTCCATATTTTAATTTTTAAATTTCTATATTTTTCGGTTTCTCGAGTTTCCACTTCTATATTTTAATTCTTCAAATTTCCGAATTTTTAAATTTTTTGAGATCTCAATTTATTGAGATTCGGATGTTTCGATGTTTTGATTATTCAATCTCTCGCTTTATCAATTTTTCCATATTTAAGTTTTCGATTTTTTGATTTTGGCCTATTTCGGTTTCTCAATTTTTCGATTTTTCGACTTCTCGATTGTTCAACTCCTCGATTTTTTTGCCTTTTGATTTTTCGATTGCTCGATGTCTCAATTTTTGAATTTTGCAATGTTTCGATTTTTCGATGTTTCGACTTTTGATTTATCCGATATTTCAATTTTCCAATTTTTTAAATTTTCGACTTCTCGATTCGTTGATTTTTCAGTTTTTCGATTTTTAAATTTTAGATTTTCGAATTTTTATTTTTTTGAATTTTTGATGTTTGGATTTCTCCATTTTTCAGTTTTAGGATATTTTAACTTTTCATTGTTTTAAATATTAGATTTTTCGATTTTTCAGTTCTTAATATTTTTTTATTTTTCAAATTTGGCGTTTCTGAATTTCTAGTTTTCGGATTTCTCAATTAATCTATTTTTTTATATTCCCATTTCTCCACTTCCTAAAGTTTCGATTGTTCAGTTCTTCAGTTCTTCAATTTTTCGATTATTCAGGTTTTTGATTTTTCAATTTTTAGATTTTTTAAGTTTGCGATTTTTCGACTCTACTTTTTTGACTTTTCTGTTTCTCAATTTTTTAATTTCCTAATTTTTGGATATTTCGTTCAATTTTGTGATTTTTCAGTTTTTCGATTTCTCAATTTTAACTTTTCAATTTTTAAATTATTAATTTTTTTCGATTTTTTGAGTTTTCAGTTCTTCTCAAAGTTTCGATTTTTCAGTTCTTCAATTCTTCGATTTTTCGACTTCGCTTTATTGGTTTTTAGATTTCTCAATTTTTGGATATTTCTTTCAGTTTTGATATTTTTCAATACTTCGATTCTTTGATTTTTCGACTTCTAGATTTCTCTATTTTTTATTTTTGGATTTTCAGTTTTTCGTTTTTTATACTTTAGATTTTTCAATTTTCCGATTGTTTTATATTTCAATTTCTCCATTTTTCAACTTTTCCATATTTTAAATTTTAAATTTCTATATTTTTCGGTTTCTCGAGTTTCCACTTCTATATTTTAATTCTTCAAATTTCCGAATTTTTAAATTTTTTGAGATCTCAATTTATTGAGATTCGGATGTTTCGATGTTTTGATTATTCAATCTCTCGCTTTATCAATTTTTCCATATTTGATTTTTCGATTTTGGCCTATTTCGGTTTCTCAATTTTTCGATTTTTCGACTTCTCGATTGTTCGACTCCTCGATTTTTTTGTCTTTTGATTTTTCGATTTCTCGATGTCTCAATTTTTGAATTTTACAATGTTTCGATTTTTCGATTTGTTGGTTTTTCGATTTTTTGCTCCTCGGTTTCTCGATTTTTCGATGTTTCGACTTTTGATTTATCCGATATTTCAATTTTCCAATTTTTTAAATTTTCGACTTCTCGATTCGTTGATTTTTCAGTTTTTTGATTTTTAAATTTTAGATTTTCGAATTTTTATTTTTTTGAATTTTTGATGTTTGGATTTTTCGATTTTTCAGTTCTTAATATTTTTTTATTTTTCAAATTTGGCGTTTTTGAATTTCTAGTTTTCGGATTTCTCAATTAATCAATTTTTTTATATTCCCATTTCTCCACTTCCTAATGTTTCGATTTTTCAGTTCTTCAGTTCTTCAATTTTTCGATTATTCAGGTTTTTGATTTTTCAATTTTTAGATTTTTTAAATTTGCGATTTTTCGACTCTGCTTTTTTGACTTTTCTGTTTCTCAATTTTCCTAATTTTTGGATATTTCGTTCAATTTTGTGATTTTCCAGTTTTTTGATTTCTCAATTTTAACTTTTCAATTTTTAAATTATTAATTTTTTTCGATTTTTTGAGTTTTCAGTTCTTCTATATTTCAATTTTTCAATTTTCGGAATTTTTAAATTTTCGATTGTCCAATTTTTTTTTTCGATTTTCCAATTTTCGATGTTTCGGTTTTTGAATTAACCGACTGTTCAATTTCTCGATTTTTAAATTTTAGATTTTCCAATTTTTGTTTTTTTGATTTTTTTATGTTTCGATTTCTCGATTTTACAATTTTCCCATCTTTGAATTTTCCAATGTTTTAAATTTTCGATTTCGAGGATTTACTGTGTTACAGTAGAATAGTCATCAGTCATTACTCATCAAGAACGATTATTGCTGTGCGTTAAAATGCCTACATATTGATAAGCACGTACATACAAGACGCATTTAAGACTGTTTTAAGTTTGCTACATTTAATTTTTGCTATTTTAAATTTATTTCTTGATGTCTAAATCGTATATATTTAAATGGTGGTAAATAATTTGTGATAAAATGCATTTTAGTTTCAAAGAAAATATGTATTTAATGATTTGACTACTGTTAATAAAAAAAAATACGTAAGAAGATGTTCATATTGAATTAATTTGGTGTTCATAGTTTGATGATAACCCATAGTTATTCTGGAGGCAAAAGCGAGTGAGATGTAAAATGTATATTCATTTTTTTCTACATGGGAAAGTTATTGTCCGTATAGGTTGTCCAATTATAATATACTTAACCAATGGCTACGCTGTGTCGTGTAATATAAAGCCGCGTTCACAGGTACGAGAAGACGAATACGATTATGCGCAGCCGGTAGACGGTCAACAAAAACGGGGAATTGAAGATCATTGGAGAAAACACACGCTGAGTTGGCTGGAGGTCGAAACCGGAAAAGTAACCCCCAAATTAACCCTTGGGTTGTAATTACAATTGTTATAATTTTTATAATCTTAGGTGTGCTTCACGTTCCGTCCCGTTAATGACCACACCCTCGACGAAGACGAATGCCCCCCCGTCCCGCCCATAATAAGGAAGTACTGAATAAGTGCGAACGACTTAACTTTATGAAAAAAAATTTATATAAATTATACACCTTTCCTGTACAACAGAAAAACAAATCTGTACAGCGCCATTTGAATCTTAAACAATTCAAATTTGTTGTTACTTGAATAAAGGAATTAATAGTGAAAGACTCCTTCATTGAAGCAATAAATAACAATATACTAATCTACACCAACTGCTCGTTGCTACTGGCCGACAAATCTAACAACCTCCACGCCGCTCTGGGGTCTGGTTCGCCTGTATCCCGACACAAGACCCACACATAGGCAACCCTCATTACTTTATCGGGATCGCCCTCTACGACTTGTCCCGTCGGATCCTTGACACACATCATCTGCTGCGACGTGAACGAGATGATCAACACAGGCCCCTGATCCATCACCTTCCCCATCACCAAATCCACGTTGTCCACATCTAAAATTTTCGATTCGATTTTATACCCCTTCTTGTACGCCTCTTTAATCGGCACGGCGAACAAATTAAACGGCCCCTCGTGACACCAGTCTCTTAAAACGTCCAAGTCGCCCCTCGTCATCGCCTCCAGCACGTTCGGAATAATGTCTGTCTCGCACTGTTTCAAAAACCTTTTAGAATCGAAAGACGGGTCTATTTTACAGATTTCAGTGAGAGTTTCCGACAGTTCCGTCTTCTGGAACAACCCACCCATAATGTCGGAGACTTTGTCAGTCAAGAGCCGCGACGCTCGAATTAGGGGATTATCGCTTTCGTCGTATTTGAGCTTCCAATCGATTACTTTATGGACATAGGGATTATTGTCTTTGAAGTTTTGCCACGACTGGTAAAACCGCGAGTCTTTGTGCAGCTCCACCCCCGTCGCGTCCACGTTAGGCTCGTAGAACTTCTGCTGCTGCACCGCGTTGATTTCCGTGCGTTTTCGCAATTTCGGGGGGCTCACGTACACCCGCCCTTGCATGCTAGTCGTGTCGATTTCCTGCTTCACAGCCTTCGTCGCCTGTGATATACTCTGAAACGCCCCGCTTTTGCTGATTTCCTGCGCCTTCTCGCTGATGGTGTGCGTCGTTTTACCCAGTTCTTCCGAGATTTTGCCCGCTTTTTTCACAATTTCAGTCTTGCCCGCTTCGTCTATCACCCCCTGGACTTTCTCCTTAATTGTACTAATTTTTTCCTTGAACACTTCGCTGCCTTTACTGGCTTCTTTCTCCACAGATTCGAATTTCTGGCGCGCCGCTTTCAGCGCCTCACTCTGCTCCAGTTTCTCCGCTTCTTCCCGAAATTTCTTCAGCGACTCCTTCATTTCCTTGTTTTTAGCCATTTCTTCCCGAAAGTTGTCGTACAAGCGAGACAGGAAAGTCTGCCGTCGGCTGGGCTCTCTAGAGTACTGTCTGACCTGAAGTGCAACAATGCGTGCGTGAAGACGCAAATTGAAACGAACTTACCCCATTTCGTGCGCTTCGTAGCGCGTGTTGGAGAAGAAAGTAGTTAAATCGGTACATTATCTAAAATAAATGACAAAAATCTGAAAAAAAACTCATGTGAGAAATGACATAACCTGACTTTGACAAGTGCGCCAATGACAAGCTATTTATTACTTACGCACCAAATTAATTCGTACCTGTAATTAACGCCAAAAAATGTGTCACGTTACAACGATTAAAGTGTCTTTTTGTTGTTTTCGGAAAATTAAAATATTCTTTCTATCGTGGGGTACATGTCAAGTTGTGAAACGAGAGCAGTGACTTTCGCTTCCGAGTTGGCGAACCTGCCTCCGCAATAAACACAAATTATACTAATTACACACCGACGTAAATATTTTCACCTGCAACAAATCGTTATAAGCGTAAAACCCGCCAGTTCTGCTGTGCCAATTTTTATTAAAACGGTTTTTTCGACTGAAAACATCTCCGTCGTAGGGAAATATAGTCGGCGTGTTGTGGTAGTAGTCGCCGTCTGTCAACAACACGTGTGCGTTTTGTGAGGTTAAACTTCGACGATAATTTTGGAAAACACGGCCCCCACGATGGAGGACCAGCGCTTCGCCCACGTGAAAACCGACCCCAAGTTCCGCCGCATCCCCAAAGGCGCCCGCAAAGTGAAAATCGACAGTCGCTTCAAGTCCATGTTTAAAGACAAACAGTTCAAAGTTAAATACACGGTGGATAAGCGCGGCAGGCCCGTGAATCACACCTCCACTGAAGACTTGAAGCGCTACTACGACCTGTCTGATAGCTCGTCGGACGAAGAAACCGACGATAAAAGCGAGCTCAGCGTGAAAGATAAAACCGACAAAGTGGTTTCAGACGAAATTAAAAAAAAACTGCGTAATTTGAGCGTGGATTATGCCCGAGGTGAGTCGAGTTTGTTGACGGAGAGTTCGTCCGACGACGACGACGACGAGGACGACGAAGTCGCAGAGGGTGACGATATCGAGCACAATTGGGGCGAATTGGACAACGATGCAGAGAAAACCGAAGACGCGACGTTCAGATTGGCGGCTTGTAACATGGATTGGGATAGAATCCGCGCTATGGACTTGATGGTGTTGTTTAACTCGTTTCTGCCGCCAGGTGGCGCTGTAAAATCTGTAACCATTTACCCGTCGGAATTTGGCAAAAAGCGGATGGTGGAGGAGGATGTCAAAGGACCGATTGAGTTGGTTGAGAATAAATTAAACGAAGAGGACGGTGAGGAAGGGGCGAAGTACCACATGGAGAAACTGCGGCAGTACCAACTCAACCGACTCAAGTATTATTACGCTGTAATTGTCTTTGATAGCGCTACCACGGCTAATAAAGTTTACTCAGAGTGCGACGGAATGGAATACGAATCTAGTGCGACGAAACTCGACCTCAGGTTTATCCCCGACGATATGTGTTTTGATGACGAAGCGAAAGAACAGTGTGACAAACTCCCGGAACTTAATAAGTACCAACCGCGATTTTTCACGACGACGGCGCTCCAACAAGCCAAAGTTGATTTGACTTGGGATGAAACCGACCCGAGTAGGATTGAGCTGACGCAGAAGATCAGCTCAGGCAAGATTGAAGATATTTCAGAGAACGATCTTCATAATTACGTGGCTGTGAGTGAAGATGAAGAAAGCGGTAGCTCAGAGGAGTGCGACGACGACGACGACAACCCGATCGAGAAATACAAACAACTACTACAAGACATTGAAAATAAAGAAGACGAAAAGAAGAACAGAGAGGTCGAAATGGAAGTGAGTTGGGGGATTGATTTGAAGAGTAAGACGGAGAAATTGGTGCGGAAGAAGATTGATGAAGACACGGCGAAGACACCGTTCGAGAAATACTTAGACAAGAGGAAAGAGAAGAGGAAGGAGAAGAAGAAACAAAGGAAAGGGGGTGAAGATTCAGACGATATTCCGTCCGACGTGGATATGAATGACCCGTTCTTCGCTGAAGAATTCAACAATCCGGAATTCAAACAGAAGAAGAAAAAGAAGGAGGAGAGAGTTGAGTCTGACGAAACTAATCCGGAGTTGGAGTTGCTACTTTTGAACGAAGACGAGGATAAGTCACACTTTAGTTTGAAGAAGATACAGAAGCAGGAAGAGGTTTCTTTGAAGAAGAAACGGAAGAAGAAGGATGTGGAGGGTGACAAAGCGGACGATTTTCAGATTAATGTCGACGATGATCGATTTTCGGCTCTGTATACCAGTCATTTGTATAATATTGACCCGACGAGTCCTCACTACAAGAAAACTAAAGGGATAGAGACTTTGATAAATGAGAAAATTAAAAGACGGAAAGACGAGGACTCAAATAATGAACCCGTAGTTTCTAAGAAAAAGGACGCGGAGCTGAGTGTTTTGGTAAAATCGGTGAAGAGGAAAGCGCAAGCTTTGAAAAACAAGAAGCGATGAAATTTTGTATCTCAGCGTAATTAAAGTCTTGTTTATAAATTTTGGTATATTATTCAATCAATACAACACATTATGTATGATACAGAAAATTATATATACAGGAATTTTTACAATTACTGACAAATAATAGTCTATATATTAAAAAAGAAACATTCATGTAAGCACACATCAGTAATTCTAGTTACATAGTTCTCAACTTATGTCAGTAGAAATTGTTACAAAAGCTCAGATATTGTGACACCCTGATTAAATGAACATCCAGTTACACATCCACTGCATCTACACTTAACCATATAAAAATAACGTCTTTAAAAAAAAAAATTGGGTGATGATAAAACAGTGATGATAACGTTTCCACAACAATAAAAGAAATGGATGAAATAAAGTGTTTATTTTTGGATTTTACATCTTTGGAAGACTGAACGAATCCTAGTCCTCAAACGAATTTGGCGTCAGTATGAGGGAAATTACACAACAAACAAACAACAAGAATAAAATTCTGAATATTCAACTAATTTTAACAAACTCACACCATACCCTGAGCATATGGCAACAAATACAACCAAATTAAAATTCTCATCTTAGCCACAGTTTCAACCTCAGAGCATCTACGCCATTTAAATAGTACCTAAACAAACGCTTATCCCGTACGAAACCCAAGGCTTCATATAACTGTAAAGCCGGTTTATTCGTCACTTCAGTTTCCAGAACCACCTCATCCGCGTCACCCACTATCATCTCTTGTATCGCGCGTCGCACCAACGTCGACCCGATCCCCAGTTTGCGGTAGTTCTGGTCCACCGCCAGCATCGCGATGTAGCCTCTTTTTATCACTTTCCGGTGGATGTCGAGCTTGCAGACGATGGCCCCCACGCACTCCTCGCCGCACATCGCCTACAACCAACCGTGTTATTCTAGAAAGGGGAAAATCGCGACTCACCAAGAAACACAGCTTCGGCCAGTTGTGGATGAAGTACCGGTAGGTGTAGATGGAGTAGGGCTCCGACAGGTCTTTTTGGATGATTTTCATGATCATGGGCATCTGCAGCTCGGATTCGTACTGAACATATTTGATTGGTGGTAGTTCGCGCTGGGGTTGCTGGAGTTGCTGGAGTTTGACCTTGTCTAAGTCTTCAGCCAAGTCTGATATTTTCTCCTCGCTAGAACTAGTTGCTTTGTTACTACACGACGCTATCGAGTCCTCGTTTGTTGTACTATTATTGCTTAAATTACACGATAAGTCCGGCTCTTGACTGGGCTCCAGCGGCATTTTCTCATTGCTCGAAATGTTGTCGTTTGAGTCTAGTTTGGTAAGTTTGGACTTTGAGTCTTTGTTGGTGCCCTCCTCCGCGTTCGAGATTTCTTTTTGTGGTTTAAGTTTCTTGTTTGTATACGTATCTTCATCGTTACTGGTGATTATGCGATCCTCGATGGACTTCTTCTCTGCACCTTTGGTAGAGTCTTGCACGATTCCATTAACCAACCCGTTCAGGTTCCCTTTTTTCGAATGTTTCTTTTTCGAAATGGTATTCTTTTCATTTAGATCAATTTTTGGTTCGCAGTTCGTTGAAGTGCACTTTTTCGTTTTATTGAGTTTCCCGTTCTTGTTCATCTTCCCATTTAATCTCCTTTGTACAAATTAATCTAAATGATGGCATAATATAAAATATTTTTTATTTTTGCTTTAAAATAAACTTGCTAAAGCGGACATATTGACGAAAAATCAACAGGGACTTTTAGGTTATTCGCTCCGAGGTGCTGTCAATTTTTTTTCTTTCTGAAAAGAAACCCCGGCTTGAAAAATCGCCCTTCCGAGACTAACACGACAGGTAAAGGTCGCGCTACGGCCCCCATTGATCGCCCCCCTACTCACCCACATCTGATTTCCCAAATCCAAATCAAACTCGATCTAAACATAACCTAACTCTTGGTGGATTGGTACGCATGAGCGACAGCGCGAATTTCGAAACCGACGCGTGACTTGCGGCAGCCCCCATAACTTCGGGCGCATTTATGTATTTATAGCCCGCCCGATTTATTAACGCCACTTCTCTTATAACTGTCAACGCACGTTTATTTTTAGACGCCAAAATATAAAATATTTTGTGTTATTTTTAAACAGGATATATCTTATTCGATCCAAGTTTTTGCCAAATTCTAATTTATTTTATATTCAGTCATGTCTTTTCCGACGAAGGAAGAGCGCCACTTGTGCTGGGGCGCGCGCGACCAGTACTGGGAGTGCCTGGAAAAAAACGGAATCAAAGACAACGACAACGGGGGTCTGTGCAAAGAACTGAGGAAAGTGTTCGAGAAGTCGTGCTCGGCGCAATGGGTCAAACACTTCGACAGGAGGAGGAGCTACCTGCAGTACAAGGAGCGGATCGAGAAACACGGGTATGAACCGCTTGACGAACGAAGCCAAGAACAATAACTTAGTAGCTAGTTTTGTAAATAGTAGCAATAAATGTTTTTTCTGAGGGTTTTTTTCATTGCAGAATCCCCAACAAAACCCCCGAAGACTTGAAAATGTCTGCGAAGAGACGGGTTTATCACGAAATCGCTTGTTTGTAAAGTGAAAAATTAGTGACACTATTCGTTGTTTTTATTTAACTTTGAACCCTAGTTAACACACTTAAAATAACTACGTAACGTCTTCAGGACTAATGTCTTTGGTTAATGGGGTACACAAGTCTTCAGAATTGTACTGGTTTTGGTCGATTGAAACAGTCTGTATGTGTTTGCCTGGAACCATGACCAGTCCCAGCATTCGGGGCTCCTCGATCGTGCCGTCGGTGTCCTCAGCGGGCAAGTATTCAGTGCACGACCCCAAAATCACATTAGCATCTCTATCGGTGCACAAAAACACACCCACGAGAACCCGCCCGTCGAACATCTGTATACGAAGCGATTTATTCAGCCAACTACGCAGCTTCACGGCACCCGGGGACATCTACAAACCCAAAATTAAAACAAGCTTTGGGGCTCGAAAGGGTCTTACGTTGAGGGGCTTCTGGGGTTTGTCTTCCGCTAGTTCGGGTTCGGTTTCTTCGGGTTCGGCTTCCGCTGACGCGCTTGCCTCATCGCTCATTTTAAACCGACTGTGTCTGTTGTTGTAGTATTTCTACACAACGAAAAAATAATATTTATTATAACCTATTAGCGTTGACAGCTGTCATCTGTCTTTTTTTAACCTCACTTTTGCGTGGGTGTTGCAAAATTTTGTTCTTAAATGCAATTTTCGGACTCGAATAGGTACGTAGAGCACGCTGGATGATTTATGGCTTTTAACACCGTCCACTAATGTTTCAAATTTAGCTTTGTGCATTTTTATTTCCTAGTCTGTAATGTCTCGTACAAGCGATATTTTGGGAATAATTCGCGGTTTACAGCTGGTGGCTGAGACAGGGATTAAATTACAATCGACAGAACTGAGCCGCGTTTGGGCGAACTCGAACTGTCGCGTTTTGCTTCAAGATTGTGTCAACTCGAACAATGCCTCAAACATTGTGTTCGAGAGTGCAGACCGCGTTGCCACAGTCTGCCATGGTGTCAAAGAGTATGCGGCAAACGCATCTGCTAAAGGTGAGTTCTAACGCGATGACTAATGTTTATGTGGTGCACCATATAAGGTCGGTGCAAGATCTGGTTACTGATTGTTTACTCTGTAGAGAGGTATAAGCAAAATTTAAGTGATGGGAGACCTGTGAAGGAAAGGGAACCCAGTGGGCGGCAATTCGGCATTAAATTAACCCAAAGTGACCAGGAATTGCTGCGGAAATTAGACATGGAACACCAGGAAAAACTAAAAAAGGTGGAGCGTGAGGAAAGACGGAAAAAGGCGGACGCAGCCAAAGAAAAAGAACGCCTTGACGAAGCGCAAAGCAGTGGGAGTCAAGTGACAGCTGCTAAAGGAAAACTGAAGGTACTTCAAACGTTAAAAAAACCCCAAATAGCGTTCTTTTTTTAGCTGAGCGAGCACTCGAAACAACGCAAAGTCCCGTCCTCGCGCATCGGACGCATGATTTCTTTTGGGGGCTTAGCGGCCGGACTGGGCTTCGGCACGGCCACGGAGTACGCAAAGAGGGCTTTCGGGTCGCGCGAAGCCGCCACCGCCGACGCCTCCACGCTCTTCCTCAACCCCAGGAACTTGGACTTAATTGTAGACACATTGTGTAAAGTCAGAGGTACTACTTTTGCATCAGTTGCGTCACGCTGACGTCACTAAACACGCCCACACGCCACGTGACGCGAACGTCAATTTTGACACGCGCGAGTGGCGCCAAATTCAAATTTAACCAAACAAACGTTTTAGTGCATGCTTTCTAAATCCGTGGGTTCTATTTTAAGGCGCCGCGCTAAAACTGGGACAACTTCTGAGTATCCAAGATGACAACATCATTAACCCCAACCTCGCCAAGGCCTTGGAGAGAGTGCGCAAATCCGCGGATTTCATGCCGAATTGGCAGGTGGAGCAAGTCATGGGGACGGAATTGGGCGAAAATTGGCGCGATCATTTTATCGAGTTTGAGGAGAAACCGTTCGCCGCTGCGTCCATAGGTCAGGTGCATTGTGGTCGAATCCAGGACGGGAGAGAGGTTGCGATAAAAATCCAATACCCGGGGGTGGCGAGAGGGATCGAGAGTGATATTGATAATTTAGGGGGGATAATGAAGTACTTTGATGTGTTTCCGAAGGGGATGTTCCTGGATAATTTGATGAAAGTGGCGAAGAGGGAGTTGGCGTGGGAGGTCGACTACAAGCGAGAGGCGGACTGTACGAGGAAATTCCGGGAGCTTTTGGCGCCTTATAGTGATTACTACGTACCTGACGTTATAGGTAAAATAGTGGCGCGAATCGACGTTAAAAGTACACTTTTTTGTTTAGATCATATATCCACGACACAGGTGTTCACGACCGAATTGCTTGACGGGATTCCCGTAGACCAGTGTTTCGATATGCCCGCAGAGGACCGTCGCTTCATCGCTGAAAAAATCATAGAACTTTGCCTTTTAGAGCTTCTGGAGTTTAAATATATGCAAACCGACCCCAACTGGGCTAACTTCTTATATAACCCCAAAAAGAAACAAATCATGCTTCTGGATTTCGGCGCTAGTCGCGAGTATTCGAAGGAGTTCATGGATAAGTACGTACGGATTTTGAAAGCGGCTTGCGACGCCGATAAGGAGACGGTCTTGACGGTGTCCAGAGAAATCGGGTTCCTTACGGGCTTCGAAAGCAAGGTAAAAGCATTGATTAAGTATATTATAGTTGCCTCCAGAATAACTATGGGTTATCATCAAACTATGAACACCAAATTAATTCAATATGAACATCTTCTTGCGTATTTTTTTTTATTAACAGTAGTCAAATCATTAAGTACATATTATCTTTGAAACTAAAATGCATTTTATCACAAATTGTTTACCACCATTTAAATATATACGATTTAGACATCAAGAAATAAATTTAAAATAGCAAAAATTAAATGTAGCAAACTTAAAACAGCCTTAAATGCGTCTTGTATGTACGTGCTTATCAATATGTAGGCATTTTAACGCACAGCAATAATCGTTCTTGATGAGTAATGACTGATGACTATTCTACTGTAACACAGTAAATCCTCGAAATCGAAAATTTAAAACATTGGAAAATTCAAATATGGGAAAGTTGTAAAATCGAGAAATCGAAACATAAAAAAATCAAAAAAACAAAAGTTGGAAAATCTAAAATTCAAAAACCGAAAGATCGAAAATTGGAAAATCGAAAAAAAAAATTGGACAATCGAAAATTTAAAAATTCCGAAAATTGAAAAATTGAAATATAGAAGAACTGAAACTCAAAAAATCGAAAAAAATTAATAATTTAAAAATTGAAAAGTTAAAATTGAGAAATCGAAAAACTGAAAAATCACAAAATTGAACGAAATATCCAAAAATTAGGAAATTAAAAAATTGAGAAACAGAAAAGTCAAAAAAGCAGAGTCGAAAAATCGCAAACTTAAAAAATCTTAAAATTGAAAAATCAAAAACCTGAATAATCGAAAAATTGAAGAACTGAAGAACTGAAAAATCGAAACTTTAGGAAGTGGAGAAATGGAACAAATGGAATGGAATGGAAAATGAAACATTGAAAAGTTAAAATATCCTAAAACTGAAAAATGGAGAAATCCAAACATCAAACATTCAAAAAAATAAAAATTTGAAAATCTAAAATTTAAAAATCGAAAAACTGAAAAATCAACGAATCGAGAAGTCGAAAATTTAAAAAATTGGAAAATTGAAATATCGGATAAATAAAAAATCGAAACATCGAAAAATCGAGAATCCGAGGAGCAAAAAATCGAAAAACCAACAAATCGAAAAATCGAAACATTGTAAAATTCAAAAATTGAGACATCGAGAAATCGAAAAATCAAAAGACAAAAAAATCGAGGAGGCGAACAATCGAGAAGTCGAAAAATCGAAAAATTGAGAAACCGAAATAGTCCAAAATCGAAAAATCGAAAACTTAAATATGGAAAAATTGATAAAGCGAGAGATTGAATAATCAAAACATCGAAACATCCGAATCTCAATAAATTGAGATCTCAAAAAATTTAAAAATTCGGAAATTTGAAGAATTAAAATATAGAAGTGGAAACTCGAGAAACCGAAAAATCTAGAAATTTAAAAATTAAAATATGGAAAAGTTGAAAAATTGAGAAATTGGAATATAAAACAATCGGAAAATTGAAAAATCTAAAGTATAAAAAACGAAAAACTGAAAATATAAAATTAAAAAATAGAAAAATTTAGAAGTCGAAAAATCAAAGAATCGAAGTATTGAAAAATATCAAAACTGAAAGAAATATCCAAAAATTGAGAAATCTAAAAACCAATAAAGCGAAGTCGAAAAATCGAAGAATTGAAGAACTGAAAAATCGAAACTTTGAGAAGAACTGAAAACTCAAAAAATCTAAAAAAATTAATAATTTAAAAATTGAAAAGTTAAAATTGAGAAATCGAAAAACTGAACAATCACAAAATTGAACGAAATATCCAAAAATTAGGAAATTAAAAAATTGAGAAACAGAAAAGTCAAAAAAGCAGAGTCGAAAAATCGCAAACTTAAAAAATCTAAAAATTGAAAAATCAAAAATCTGAATAATCGAAAAATTGAAGAACTGAAGAACTGAAAAATCGAAACTTTAGGAAGTGGAGAAATGGGAATATAAAAAAATAGATTAATTGAGAAATCCGAAAACTAGAAATTCAGAAACGCCAAATTTGAAAAATAAAAAAATATTAAGAAGAACTGAAAAATCGAAAAATCTAATATTTATAACATTGAAAAGTTAAAATATCCTAAAACTGAAAAATGGAGAAATCCAAACATCAAAAATTCAAAAAAATAAAAATTCGAAAATCTAAAATTTAAAAATCGAAAAACTGAAAAATCAACGAATCGAGAAGTAGAAAATTTAAAAAATTGGAAAATTGAAATATCGGATAAATCAAAAATCGAAACATCGAAAAATCGAGAAACCGAGGAGCAAAAAATCGAAAAACCAACAAATCGAAAAATCGAAACATTGTAAAATTCAAAAATTGAGACATCTAGAAACCGAAAAATCAAAAGACAAAAAAATCGAGGAGTCGAACAATCGAGAAGTCGAAAAATCGAAAAATTGAGAAACCGAAATAGGCCAAAATCGAAAAATCGAAAACTTAAATATGGAAAAACTGATAAAACGAGAGATCGAATAATCAAAACATCGAAACATCCGAATCTCAATAAATTGAGATCTCAAAAAATTTAAAAATTCGGAAATTTGAAGAATTAAAATATAGAAGTGAAAACTCGAGAAACCGAAAAATCTAGAAATTTAAAAATTAAAATATGGAAAAGTTGAAAAATTGAGAAATTGAAATATAAAACAATCGGAAAATTGAAAAATCTAAAGTATAAAAAACGAAAAACTGAAAATCCAAAAATAAAAAATAGAAAAATCTAGAAGTCGAAAAATCAAAGAATCGAAGTATTAAAAAATATCAAAACTGAAAGAAATATCCAAAAATTGAGAAATCTAAAAACCAATAAAGCGAAGTCGAAAAATCGAAGAATTGAAGAACTGAAAAGTCGAAACTTTGAGAAGTGGGAAAATCAAAAATAGATTAATTGAGAAATCAGAAAACTGAAAATTTAACGCAAAAATTTGAAAAATTGAAAAATTTAAATACTGAAGAACTGAAAAGTCAAAAATCGAGAAATCGAAAAATCTAAAATTTAAAACATTGAATAATTAAAATATCGCAAAATTGAAGAATCGAGAAATCCAATTCAATTTGAAAAATTGAAAAATCGGGACATTGAAAAATTGGAAAATCCAGAAATTGAAAAGCCCAAAAGAAAAAAATCGAAAAACCGAGAAATCCAAAAATCTAAACATCGAAAAATTCAAAAACTGAGACTTGGAGAAATCGAAAAATTGGAGGATCGAGAAATTGAGGAGTCGGAAGCCGAAAAGGAAAGTTAAAAATTGAAAAATTGAGAAATTGAACAATCAAAACCACGAAACATCTGAATTCGATAAATTGAGAGATTAAAAAATTGAATAATCGAAAAATTTTAAAAAAGAAAAACTGGAAAATCGAAAATTAAAATTAAAAAAATCGAAAGATAGATTGAAATATAGAAGAATTGAAAACTCGAGATATCGAAAAACCTAGAATTTTAAAAAAAAAATTCAAAAATCGAAAAGTCGAAAAATTGAAATATTGAAAAATCTCATAACTGAAAGAAATATTCAAAAAATTGAGAAATTAAAAAATTGGAAAATTGAGAAATCGAAAATCTAAAACAGCAAAATCGAAAAATCGTAATCTTAAAAAATCGAAAAATTGAAGAATTGAAGGTGTGAAAAATCGAAACTTTAGGAAGTCCAGAAATGGGCAAATAAAAAAAAAATACTTTAGAAATCGGCAAACTGAAAATTTAGAAACGTGAAAATTTGAAAAATTGAAAAATCGAAATATTTAAAAACCGTAAAATTGAAGAGGACAAAAATTGAGAAATCGTATCATTGAAACATCGAAAGATTGAGAAATCGAAAAATAAAAAAAATCGAGAAATAGAAAATTTGAAGAATGGAAGAATCGGAGAAACCCAAAATTGAAATATTGAAAAATTGAGAGATTTAAAGTTGAAAAATCGAGAAATCGACAAGCCGAAAAATTTCAGTAGCGTATTTATAAATCAGGACTATGCTACTAAAATTTAAATAACGTTATAAATTGTAAAATGTTGATTGTTTTCCAAAAATCTTGATGTCTAAGGTGAAAACTCGACACGGATGCACATTTTATTTATTTATTTATTTATTTATTTATTTTATCTTGTTTTCGAAATATAATAAACATTTCAAACAATGTCTGTAACTTATCTTAATGTAAATTATATTCATGTGGTTAACAAAATCAGATGTAATATTAGTGTGATTTTGACCTTATTCTAGATTTTATTACAGCAGAACGGCGTGTCCTTTTTAAATTTTAGAAGTTACGGAAACTAGTTCAAGAAACAATTAGTTATCTCGTATTTTTGAAACAAAATCTACCAAAACGTCGGATAACAGCAATTGATTTTCATAGAAACAAACAGTCTTCAAAGCAACCTTTAACAACTCGATATTACAAACATCCCTCTTAAGTTCTTCATGCGTTTTTTTCTGTCTTGTAATTATTTGTAATGTCAACGCTGAAAGTTTATGTCATTCTGTTATTTACTTTGAATGTATATTTTCATTTTGTGTTAATATTTTTGTAACACCGCGAATCAAAATTTTACTTAAAATCTTGTTTTACTTTAATCTTGTAAAACTAAACAATTATACCAGTTTAAAAACTCTTGGTAAGTTTCTGTCAGTCTTCAGATATAGTCAAATAAAAATAGGCGTCAAATTCATCTATAATATACTTAAACTTATACTTAAACAATGGTAAAAGCATAAACTGAGAAGTACATAATAACTGTAATTATGTAATTTGTTGCAGTTGATGGAGGACGCACACGTAGACGCAGTAATGATTCTAGGCGAAGTTTTCCGAAGTCATGAGCCCTATAACTTCTCCGGACAAGACATGACTGCCAGAATTCAAAACCTAGTTCCCACGATGGTCACGCACAGACTCTGTCCGCCCCCTGAAGAAGTCTATTCTCTACACAGAAAACTCTCAGGAATCTTCCTACTGTGTTCAAAGCTTAAAACATCTGTATCTTGCAGAGATAAATTCCTGACACTATATAGCAAATACACTAAATCGTTATAACGTACTAATTTTGTAACACCAAGTAGCTTTTTGTAACGAAAAAGGTTTCCAATAAATGTTACTGTTGTTGTTTTTGGGTTAATAAAATTTGCGATAAGTTATTAAGCGTTAAGGTCATTCTCGATTTCAATTACCTTTTGTTTCACGACTGCGATAATTCTAGGGAGTTTATTGAGAAAATTTGACATGTGGTGTTGTGTTGTGTTGGGTGTGGTGATGTGGAAGGTAAGAAAAGTTTAATTAATTTTAAATAACAACTGAGTTACTTTGTGGACTTAACTTAAGTAAGGTGCGCATTCACTGGATTACGGATGCCGCCATGACCTTCATGCTTTGCCGCTCCCGCGAAAAAGTCACGCTACTAAATCTCGGCATTATTAATTTGAATAGTGGCTGTTTACGCGACTAAATTTTCTTAATAGCCGCCATAACTCCATTCCTTCGCAATTCCGCTTTATTCACTTTCTCGAGCGCGCGTTCATGTAAATTTTTTAACAAAGACGCTTTCAAACATTTCCGTGATCCGAGCACAAAAATTCCGAATGAATATTTGACGATCAAAGACCGTAAAGAAAACAACTATCACATAAAAAAATCGATCGGACGACTTTCGCGTTTAATTTGCATGATGCCGGGAAGATGTTAGAAAAAGTGCGATTGAAATACATAATGAAATATTTGCAGAGCGCCGCCGGAATTACGAACTCAGTTTTTTTTTTTCTAGGTTTCTTCGAGCGAGGCGAAACTCGTCGATATTTTCAAGAGCGAAATCGAAGTTCTCGAAAACATGATTCGCTTATCGCTGCGTTCGGGCTTAGATTTAGTGGAGAATCACGTAAAAGAACTGGAAGAGAAAACTTCCGAGATAAGAAATGAAGCGATTAATTTGATAGAAGAGCACGGGTTTAGCGCACTCGAAAATTTGGAAGTTTACACTGAGGCGTTCGCCGCTAGGGAAAAAAACGGGAGTCGGTGTGCCGAGGGGTTGGAGACGACTATATCGAGGACTCAAGACCGAGGGGTTAATAAGCTCAAGACGTCGAACGTGTTTGCGAAAATCCAGACTTTGGTGACCAAGTCGCTGCCAATCATGCTGAAGTTTCAGAATGCTACTTTCGAAATGAGAGAAGTGGCAAAAGGTTGCGCCTACGCCGACGACGACGAATGCGTGTCCAAGGCCGTGGAAACCGTGGAGAACCTAAAGGAAGTGACGCCGTCGCTGATCCAAACCGTGATCAATCGATTGGAGATGCAGATTAAGATTGTGGAAGCCGAGCTGGTCTCCGAGGTGCAGAAGGTCGTGAACGGGGTTGTGGAGGAGCACAGCGACGTGCTCTTCGACTTCATCCAGTGCATAATCCAAGTTTAAATTTATCCCGTTTTTATTAGCCGGCGAAAGTTGGAAATGAGTAATAAGTTTGCGAAGTTTGGGCAGAGCTGGAAAAATAATAAACTAAATAAAAGCATCAGGAACGAGAGGGTTTAAGCCGCAAAGAAACATTAAAGCTTTCTGTGTCGGGGCTTAATGTCCGATGTAGAGCTTTAAATCCTAATTAAGCATTAAAAGTCAGACACTCTGTTTTTGCAGCACTTGCCTAGGGACTTGACAAAAGCATTTCGGTTATAAAACGTAGCAGTTGGGCCTCTTGTGTATTGTCGGCCGTCTTTCACGGTTTCCATCAGTATAATGTCACGGAACTTTATTACCGACCCTTCTCGGCCCGGCCATTAAGCCATGACATAGATACCCTTAAAATCTGCCAGCTTCACAAGTTTTTTCCCTCGCAAGCCTGAAACAGAACCGTACTAGGAATTTTATTGACGATTATCGGACCGTGTTGACCCTGCGCTATAAAAAAGGGTTGCCTAAAATCTTATTTCGATTTCAATTTGGCGAAATTTTATTCACCAGTTTTAATTGGTTCGAGACTCTAAAGTTTTTTTTCAGAAAAGTGAAATTGTGACTAATTCGTGACGACCTGGTTAATTGTGACACGCGCCCCCAAGTACCGCAAACTTCACTCCTCTACAGTCAATTTGTGTCATAAATAAAACAACTTTTGTATTGTTGTGTTTTTTCCCTAAAGCATGAGCTTTCCCGACATCATACACTTAATTTCTTGCCCCATAAACATTCCGCAGCCCATTCTGGAACAAAAGTTCCTCGACTATATTGGACCGAGTTCCTCCGAACTTGCAAAGGACTGCAGAACAGCCCCGTAGCTACGGGGGGGCAAGAGGGGGCTGAGCCCCCCCTAGCAGTTGTGGTTGCCCCCCTGGAAGACTTATACATTATAAATTTCAAATTAGTAATAAAATTTCAATATAATGCCGATTGCCGAAGCATATTAACTGGCCCCACCCGCCCCACCTTTATTTTCGTACAGGGTATATTATTTGGCAATATCACCTTACCGTTGATGTTGACCGTATAAAAAAATGAACATGTCACATTTTATTCCATAGCCTACTATGTAGGTACTTGAGAAAAGTCAAAAATATTATATGGATTTTCTAAAAATTGAGCTTTTATTGAAGTGGACAAAAAATAGACAAAAAATTCTGAGATGTAGATCTCGATGAGCTTAATCAAAAAACATAAGGTCTTGATGGTCCCAGACCAAGATTTTTCAAAAATTCGGTTCCAAAGTCGACATTTAAAAATTTCTGAAAAATTACATTTCTTTTGGCGGCTCTGGAAAAATTGTACGAATTTTCGAAAAAATAAAACCAAAAAAAAAACATTTGGAGATCGAAATCAATAAAAAGATCCCTTCTGCTAGTTTTCGAAAATGCGTGGGAAAAGTCAATTTTTTTTTATAGATTTTCAAAAATTGAACTTTTGTTGAAATTGGCTGAAAATCTACAAAAAATTCTGAGATGTAGATCTCGACGAGTTTAGTCAAAAAACATCAGGTCTTGCTGCTATTCGGTTTCCAAGTCGAATTTTTAAAATTTCTCAAAAATTATACTCCTATTTCTTTTGACGATTCTAGAAAAATTTTACAAATTTTCGATCAAATAAAACCAAAAACAACATCTGAAGATTGAAATAAATAAAAGAATGACTTTCTGTAATTTTTGGAAATGCTAAGAAAAGTCATAATTTATTTAGTTTTCAAAAATTGAGCTTTTGTTAGAGTTGACAAAAAATTCTGAAATATAGATCTCGATGAGCTTAATCGAAAAACATGTTCATGCTCCCGGAGCAAAATTTACGAAATATTGGGTTCTACCTAAAATTTCTAAAAAATCTCAAAAGTGACTTAAAAAAAAGTTATTTCTTTATGCGATTGTGGAAAAATTCGACGAAATATCAAAAAAATAAAACCAAAAATAACATCTGTAGATCGAAATCAATAAAGAGATCCCTTTTGCTAATTTTCGAAGATGCTTGGGAAAAGTCAAAAAATGTATATGGATTTTCAAAAATTGAGCTTTTGTTGAAATTAACAAAAAATCAACAAAAAATTCCGAGATGTAGATCTCGATGAGCTTAATCCAAAAACATATGGTCTTGATGGTCCCAGACCAAGATTTTCGAAAAATTCGGTTTCAAAGTAGACATTTCAAAATTTCTCAAAAATTACATTTCTTTTGGCGGCTTTGGAAAAATTGTACAAATTTTCGAGAAAATAAAACCAAAAACAACATTTGGAGATCGAAATCGATAAAGAGATCCCTTTTGCTAATTTTCGAAAACGGTTGGGAAAAGTCATAAACATTTTATAGATTTTCAAAAATTTAGCTTTTGTTGAAGTTGACTAAAAATCCACAAAAAAATCTGAAATGTTGATCTCGACGAGCTCAATCAAAAAACACAAGGTCTAGATGGTCCCAGATCAAGATTTTCGAAACATTCGGTTTCAAAGTTCAAAAATTACATTTCGTTTGGCGATTGCTGAAAAATTTTACGACTTTTCAACCAAATAAAACCAAAAACAACATCTGGAGATCGAAATCAATAAAGGAATCCCTTTTGATAATCTCGAACGTGTTTGAAAAAAGTCAAAAATTTGATGCAGGTTTTCAAAAATTGCCATATTTCTTCCATCGATTCTGGAAAAATTGTAAGAATTTTCAAAAAAATTGAATCCAAAAGGATTTTTGGAAATCGAGATGAACAAAGGAGTCTCTTTTGATAATTTTTAAAAATGCTTGGGAAAAGTCAAAAATTTTATATGGGTTTTCAAAAATTGAACTTTCGTAAAAGTTGACAAAAAATTCTGAAATATAGATTTGGACGAGCTTAAAAAAACATGACAGGTTCATGGTTCCCGATCAAAATTTTCGAAATACTCGGTTTCGAGCTCGAATTTTCAAAATTTCTCAAAAATTACCATATTTCTTTTGGCGATTGTGGAAAAATTGTACGCATTTTCGAAAAAACAACCAAAAACAACATCTGGAGATCGAAATCAATAAAGGAATCCCTTTTGGTAATCTCGAACGTGCTTGAAAAAAAGTCAAAAATTTGATACAGGTTCTCAAAAATTGCCATATTTCTCCCGTCGATTCTGGAAAAAATGTAAGAATTTTCAAAAAAATTGAAACCAAAACGATTTCTGGAAATCGAGATGAACAAAGGAGTCTCTTTTGATAATTTTTAAAAATGCTTGGGAAAAGTCAAAAATTATATATGGGTTTTCAAAAATTGAACTTTCGTAAAAGTTGACAAAAAATTCTGAAATATAGATTTGGACGAGCTTAAAAAAACATGACAGGTTCATGGTTCCCGATCAAAATTTTCGAAATACTCGGTTTCGAGCTCGAATTTTCAAAATTTCTCAAAAATTACCATATTTCTTTTGGCGATTGTGGAAAAATTGTACGCATTTTCGAAAAAACAACCAAAAACAACATCTGGAGATCGAAATCAATAAAGGAATCCCTTTTGGTAATCTCGAACGTGCTTGAAAAAAAGTCAAAAATTTGACACAGGTTCTCAAAAATTGCCATATTTCTCCCGTCGATTCTGGAAAAAATGTAAGAATTTTCAAAAAAATTGAAACCAAAACGATTTCTGGAAATCGAGATGAACAAAGGAGTCTCTTTTGATAATTTTTAAAAATGCTTGGGAAAAGTCAAAAATTTTATATGGGTTTTCAAAAATTGAACTTTCGTAAAAGTTGACAAAAAATTCTGAAATATAGATTTGGACGAGCTTAAAAAAACATGACAGGTTCATGGTTCCCGATCAAAATTTTCGAAATACTCGGTTTCGAGCTCGAATTTTCAAAATTTCTCAAAAATTACCATATTTCTTTTGGCGATTGTGGAAAAATTGTACGCATTTTCGGAAAAACAACCAAAAACAACATCTGGAGATCGAAATCAATAAAGGAATCCCTTTTGGTAATCTCGAACGTGCTTGAAAAAAAGTCAAAAATTTGATACAGGTTCTCAAAAATTGCCATATTTCTCCCGTCGATTCTGGAAAAAATGTAAGAATTTTCAAAAAAATTGAAACCAAAACGATTTCTGGAAATCGAGATGAACAAAGGAGTCTCTTTTGATAATTTTTAAAAATGCTTGGGAAAAGTCAAAAATTATATATGGGTTTTCAAAAATTGAACTTTCGTAAAAGTTGACAAAAAATTCTGAAATATAGATTTGGACGAGCTTAAAAATACATGACAGGTTCATGGTTCCCGATCAAAATTTTCGAAATACTCGGTTTCGAGCTCGAATTTTCAAAATTTCTCAAAAATTACCATATTTCTTTTGGCGATTGTGGAAAAATTGTACGCATTTTCGAAAAAACAACCAAAAACAACATCTGGAGATCGAAATTAATAAAGGAATCCCTTTTGGTAATCTCGAACGTGCTTGAAAAAAAGTCAAAAATTTGATACAGGTTCTCAAAAATTGCCATATTTCTCCCGTCGATTCTGCAAAAAATGTAAGAATTTTCAAAAAAATTGAATCCAAAACGATTTTTGGAAGAAATCGAGATGAACAAAGGAATTCTTTTGGTAATTTTCGAAAATTCTTGGGAAAAGTCAAAATTTGTATATGGGTTTCCAAAAATTGAGCTTTTGTTAAAGTTGACAAAAAATTCTGAAATACACATCTCGACGAGTTTAAAAAAACATGACGAGTTCATGGTTCCGTACCAAAATTTTCGAAATATTTGGTTTCGAAGTCGGATTTTTAAAATATGTACTAAACATGCAAAAAAATAAACTCAAACAAATTGGATGTTACCTATATGGTCACTACACAAATTTTTGGATGCAGTACAGCTGTTTATGAATCTACATTCTCTGTTTAACCAGCATTTTAACCAAGTACCGTACTAATTTTTTGGACTTCGACAGGTTTTTACGAAAATTTAGCGCAAAAAATCGACGTTTCCACTTATTTTAATGTTCTTTCAAATATAAAAACTCAGAAAAAATAAAGTAGTTATCTGAGTGTATTATTAAAATATAAATATTTACATGAAGCCCCCTCTGTCGACAAACTTGCCCTCCCTGAATAAGTTTTCTAGCTACGGGGCTGCTGCAGAAGCGCTTCTCCCAGTCCCAGTCCCCATCGATTAGGGCCAAAGTGGCCGCAGTCAAAAAAAATCCTTAATACCTCCTCCTAATAGAAACTTCTCATTACTCTTTCGTCGTGACGGTTCTGACGCGACTGATTTATGTCTAATTCCATACTGACCCGGCACAAAAATGGAGCTTTTATACCTCATAATAAAATTTATACGCTCCAGTTGGCCGATTTTATAAAACTCCGGCGCATTTCATAAAATAACCTTTGACAAATAGTTGAAGCGATAAGTTTATTTGCGTCTACGGTCTTTGATAAGTTTAATCGAGTTCTTTTCAGTCGACGAATTGATCAATTTATCAAAAAAAAAAAACTCAGAGTCGGTTGAATAAATAAAAAAAATAAATCTAGTGACGACTAGACGACATCAATCCCCTTTTATGGTCTGGATAGAGTCAAAAAAGCCCTCTGTTCAAAAACAAAAAACCTTGCAACCTCCCGGCCCCCGAGTTTTGATGGCTTCGCTCCCCGGAGTTATCTACTTCCAGCGACAGAGTTTATCAGAAGTTATTTCTGTGTTTGAAGCGTTTGGTCGATAGACGAATATAGAGACTGCGCGGCTGCCAGTTTTGCGTGCTATTGGTCAAGTTAGCATTCACACACCGACCATCTGGTTGTCGGGGTTCCAGCAGCAGTTATCTTGAGAATTTTGTGACGTCGTCATGTACACTTGCTGCACGACCCTCCACTAACAACAACGCGTAAGTAGCCGGAAGAATTTCGAGCTATTTTTAGTTCTTTGTTTGGGGATTTTTCGGTCGTGTTGGTGGATGGCACCCGCTGGCACGATTTTTGAAATTTTTGATTGTCCGCGCTGTATGTGGTTTTGGTATCACAATGTGCCACAAATTGTCTATTATGTCGTTAGTACAAACAAACAACGTAATAAAATTTTATTGTCCGGGACTAATTAGGGTATTGTGTGTATAATTACAAAAATATTTTCTTGATGGTGTGTTGGTATTGCGGAGTCATTGGCTTATTTTTTTGTTAAACGTTTATAAATTGGTTTATTTTGTGTGACGAAACGAAATCACGAAATTGGTTTTGCGGTTTCCTGTGGATATTATTTCGCAGCTGAATTACACCGAAGCTAATTCTTATGGAAATATTCTATTTGCATTGTGTTAATCGGACTGAACATTTTCAACACCTCGGCTATTGTCTGGCAATATTTAATCTTTCAACTTTGGCAGGGGTGTTATTTATATTATGTGTGGTATTTTGCGGATTTCGGAAAATGGGGAACGAGATTTATAGCCCCGGGACTAAATTAAAGCGCCGAAATATAAATTACTTTGGTATAATGTCGTATTTGGGAGTCATTTTTACACACTTTTTTTGTAAAAAATCGACTAATAACTTCATAATGGAACGAATTCACACCACCTACGCGTCCCAGAAGGGAAAATTAATTTCATGCTTAAGTAATAAATGTGCTGCTAGACTAAACTGTGCATTTGGCCGCCTTCCAATGTTTATGCAGCAAATACTAACATTATGAAACACCTGAAAAAAATTACCAGACGACGTTGTTTCACATTCCTGATTTTTTTACACACACGACAGTTTGCTTTGTCTTCAGCTGACGCAGCGGTTGAAGCACCTTTAAACAAAATATAAAGCGCCAGCTCGACAAATTAAAATTCGCGATGTTCAAACATAAATATCGAAGAAATTACCGAGTCCTTTAAGCTGCGCAACTTCGCTTTTGTGCATATTTTAGCGGGCGAAGTTGTTATTAATATTTACTTTTATTCATAAGGGCTCTGGCAAAAATTCCCCTCTATGAATATTTGACGACTGATAAAAATACTCCGGGACAAAAACTTCTGAAGCGGAAACTTTGGTCTTTTACCCTCACAAAATTCCAATTAATATCGCACCCTCTCATTTCATCAAAATTGATGAAACTTCCAGAAGTAATTTTCGAAGAATTAGGTCTCGTAATGAGTGTATTAAATTAAATTTTGTTGTTAGATAGATCTCGTCGGGCCGTAATTTTCGGATATGTTTCCGGAAAGTGAATTTAGCGAGGAAGGTTTTATTTATTTTATTATTTCTCGCGTTTTTGTCAAGGAAGTGTGTCGAGACAACTTCTTTTCTTTTTTTGTCTGGGTTTTTAATTTTTTATCCCCTTTTTACTGTCGCATTTTATGGCGTATTTTTGTTTCTTGTGTGTTTCTACCTGTCAATTTTGTGCTCTTTTTTGTCGTATTTTTATAGCTATTTTTTTTGTCAATTTTTTATGTCTCATTTTTTCGTGTTTTATTTAGTCACTTTCGTTTCTTCGCATCGTTTTTTGCCACTTTTCCGGCGTATTTTGGTATTGGTTTTTTCGTCGAGATTTTATCTTCGCCTTTTTATTGTCACCTTCTTTTTATGACTTTTTTCTCTTTTCCTTCTGGTTCTTTGTATTTTTTGTGTGGTATTTTTTATGACCTTCTTTTATCAGGTTTTTTTGTCTGTTCTGTATCGCCTGTTCTTTCGCTTCTTTTTAAATCTTTTTTTGCCTTCGTTTGAGTCTTTCTTTGGTTACTTTTTGTCTTTTTTCATTGCATTTTTTCTTAACTTCTATTGTATTTATTTTTATTGCCTTATTCGTGCGTCCGTTTTTTTATTGCCGTTTCTTTGTTTCTTTTTTGTTACCTTTTGGTATTGATCTATTCGCAGTTTTTTTGCCTGTGTTGTTTCGCTTCTTGTTTGCTATTGGTTTTTTCGTCTATTTGTCTCCTTTCATCGTCTTTTTCTTGTCTTTTTTTTTTACTGCCTTTTTTTGTTGTCATCTTTTTTAATGACGTTTTCATTGCCATTTTTTTCTCTTTTCCTTGTGTTTTTCCTTTTTTGATAGGTTTTTTTGTTTGTTTTTTACTTTTTTTTTTAATTTCTTTTTTATTGTTTTTTTTTGTTTTGTTTGTCGTCTATTTTTCGTAATTTCTTGGACCAAAAAAACTTTTTTCAGCCTTTTTTTATGGCAGTTTTTTTTGTCGGATTTTTCGTCTGTTTTTTTGTCCGCTTTTTTGGCGTTTTTTTTGCTGGAGTTTTTTTTTAGTTTTCTCTTTCGCTTTTTTCGTTTTTGCTTTGCTTTTTTTTATTCTTTTTTATATTTTTTGTTGCCTTTTTTAATTGTCACCTTTCTTGTCGTCAATTTTTTCTGAATTTTTTTGAACTTATTCTTGTGGTGTTTTATTGTCTTTTGTTGCTGTTTATTGTCTAGTTTCTGGTTTCTTTTTTTATCATATTTTCTTTCGTTCCTTTTTTTATAACTTTTTTCTCTTTTCTTAGTCGTTTTTTATCTTTTTAAGCGCCTTTTTTGTTGGCTTTTTTTATACTGTTTTTGTGTCTTTTTTTCTTGCTTTTTTGTCCCTGTTTCTTCATGGTGATTTTTGTCAATTTTTTATGTCTGATTTTTTCGTATTTTATTTGGTCACTTTTTGGACTTTTTACTTTCATAGTTTTATTTAATGACGGTTTCATTGCCATTTTTTTGTCTTTTTCTTGTGTTTTTCTCTTTTTTGATGGATTTGTTTCCTTCTTTACATTTTTTAATTTCTCTTTTTTCGAGTTTTTTTTACGTTTTCGTATATCGAGTTCTTCTTGTCTCTATTTATCACCGTTTTTTTTTTTCCGAATTTTTTTTCGGTCTTCGTCCTTTTTTATCTCCTTTGTTAATGAAACTTTTTTGTCTTCTTTTCATCAATATTTTTTTATATTTTGTGTCCCCTTTTTTATGATATTTTTTATTCCACTTTTTTGTTTCTTCATCTTTTTCTTCCCTTATTTTTCCATTGTCGTTGCCCTGTTTTATCTCTTTTCTTCAGCATGTTTTGTTCTTTTCATTGTCGATTTTGTTTGCCTCTTTTTTATTGCCTTTTCTTCAGTTTTAGTTTTACCACTTTTTTCGCGCGTTGTTTTCTGGCTCTTTTTATATCGCGCTTTTTTAGCCTCTTCTTTGTGACATCTTCTTTCGCTTTTTCTGCTTTTGTTTTGTTTATTTTGGTCCTTTTTTATATAGTTGTTTTTTGTTACCTTTTTTATTGTCACCTTTCTCGCCGTTTCTTATGTACAAATTTTTGGTGTTTTATTTAGTCAATTTTGTTTTCCGAAATTGTTTGGCATCTCTTTTACCGCCTTATTTTTGTCGCTTTTTTTTGTCGTTTTTTCTGGTCTTTTGTTGTTATTTATGGTCTAGTTTTTTTTTTTGACTTCTTTTTGTTATCTTTCTTTCCGTCCCTTTTTTAGCATTTCTTTGGTCCCCATTTCTTAATAGTACTTTTTTATAGTTTTTTTTCCTCTTTTTTATCATCTTTTCTTCCACTTGTTCTTTTTTATTTTTCTTCTTTCCCCTTTGTGTCATTTTTATCGCCTTTTTTGTCGCCTTTTTTCCGCCCCATTTATGTCCGATTTTCCTTGGTTTTTATCAAGTTTTTTCTGTCTCTTTTTTGATCACTTATTCTTTTGTTTTAATAGTTTTCCTTGCCATTTTTCTCTGTTTTTTGTGTTGCCTTTTCAAAGACGTTTTTTTTTTTGTTTCTTTTTTATTGCATTTTCTTTCATTTCTTTTTTATTGTTTTTTGTGTTGTGTTTGTCGTCTATTTTTCGTTATTTCTTGGACTTTTTTCCAGTCTTTTTTTGTGGCAGTTTTTTTTGTCGGAATTTTCGTCTGTTTTTAGTCCGCTTTTTTCGCGTTTTTTTTTTCCTGGAGTTTTTTTTAGCCTTCTTTTTCGCTTTTGCTTTGCTTTTTTTGATTCTTTTTTATATTTTTTGTCGCCGTGGTGTTTTATTCTCTTTTGTTGTTGTTTATTGTCTAGTTTTTCGGTTTCTTTTTATCATATTTTCTTTCGTTCCTTTTTTTATTTTTTCTCTTTCTTTAGTCGTTCTTTATCTTTTAATCGCCTTTTTTGTTGACATTTCTTATGCTGTTTTTGTGTCTTTTTTCTTGTTTTTTGTCCCCGTTTCTTCATGGTATTTTTTCGTGTTTTATTTAGTCACTTTTTGGACTTTTTGCTTTCATAGTTTGATTTAATGACGGTTTCATTGCCATTTTTTTTCTTTTCCTTGTGTTTTTCTCTTTTTTGGTAGGTTTTTGTTTCCTATTTTACATTTTTTAATTTCTCTTTTTTTGAGTTTTATACGTTTTCGTATATCGAGTTCTTCTTGTCTCCTTTTATCACCGTTTTTTTTCCGAAATTTTTTTCGGTCTTCGCCCTTTTTTATCTCCTTTGTTAATGAAGTTTTTTTGTCTTCTTTTCATCAATATTTTTTATGATATTTTTATTCCACCATTTTTTGTGTTTTTTCATTTTTTTCTTCCCTTATTTTTCCATTGTCGTTGCCCTGTTTCTTTTCATTGCCTTTTTTGTCTCCCCTTTTTACGGAGTTTTTCTTGTGGTTTTTCTTTGTCGATTTTGTTTGCCTCTTTTTTATTTCCTTTTTTTCAGTTTTAGTTTTATCACTTTTTCGCGCATTGTTTTTTGGCTCTTTTTATATCGCGCTTTTTTAGCGTCTTCTGTGTGACATCTTCTCTCGCTTTTTCTGCTTTTGTTTTGTTTATTTTGGTCCTTTTTTCGTTGTTTTTTTTTTGTTACTTTTTTTATTGTCACCTTTCTCGCCGTTTCTTATGTACAAATTTTTGGTGTTTTATTTAGTCAATTTTGTTTTCCGAAATTGTTTGGCATCTCTTTTACCGCCTTATTTTTGTTGTTATTTGTGGTCTAGTTTTTTTTGACTTTTTTTTGTTATCCTTCTTTCCATCCTTTTTTTAGCATTTTTTTCTTTTCTTAGTCGGTTTTTTAATCCTTTTTTAATCGCCTTTTCGCGGATTTTGGTATGACACTTTTTTGCGTTTTTTGTCTCTTTTTCTGTTTTTTTTTGTCCCCATTTCTTATAGTACTTTTTTATAGTTTTTTTTTTGCCTATTTTTTATCATCTTTTCTTCCACTTGTTCTTTTTTGTTTTTCTTCTTTCCCCTTTGTGTCATTTTTATCGCCTTTTTTGTCGCCTTTTTTCCGCCTCTTTTATGTCCTATTTTCCTTGGTTTTTATCAAGTTTTTTCTGTCTCTTTTTTGATCACTTATTCTTTTGTTTTTTAATAGTTTTCTTTGCCATTTTTCTCTGTTTATTCTGTTGCCTTTTCAAAGACGTTTTTTTTTGTTTCTTTTTTATTGCAATTTCTTTCATTACTTTTTTATTGTTTTTTGTGTTGTGTTTGTCGTCTATTTTTCTTTGTTTCTTGGACTTTTTTCCAGCTTTTTTAATGGCAGTTTTGTTTGTCGGATTTTTCGTCTGTTTTTAGTCCGCTTTTTTCGTTTTTGCTTTGCTTTTTTTTTATTCTTTTTTATATTTTTTGTCGACGTGGTGTTTTATTGTCTTTTGTTGTTGTTTATTGTCTAGTTTTTTGGTTTCTTTTTATATTTTATATTTTCGTTCCTTTTTTTATTTTTTCTCTTTCCTTAGTCGTTCTTTATCTTTTAATCGCCTTTTTTGTTGACAATTTTTTATGCTGTTTTTGTGTCTTTTTTCTTGTTTTTTGTCCCCGTTTCTTCATGGTATTTTTTTGTCAATTTGTCACATTTTTTCGTGTTTTATTTAGTCACTTTTTGGACTTTTTGCTTTCACAGTTTTATTTAATGACGGTCTCATTGCCATTTTTTTTCTTTTCTTTGTGTTTTTCTCTTATTTGGTAGGTTTTTGTTTCTTTTTTTACATTTTTTAATTTCTTTTTTTTGAGTTTTATACGTTTTCGTATATCGAGTTCTTCTTGTCTCTTTTTATCAAGTTTTTTTGTCTTCTTTTCATCAATATTTTTTATGATATTTTTTATTCCACCATTTTTTGTGTTTTTTCAACTTTTTCTTCCATTATTTTTACATTGTCGTTGCCCTGTTTTATCCCTTTTCTTCGGCATTTTTTGTTCTTTTCATTGCCTTTTTTGTCTCCCCTTTTTACGGAGTTTTTCTTGTGGCTTTTCTTTGTCGATTTTGTTTGCTTCATTTTTATTGCCTTTTCTTCAGTTTTAGTTTCTTTTTTATATCGCGCTTTTTTAGCCTCTTCTTTGTGACATCTTCTTTCGCTTTTTCTGCTTTTGTTTTATTTATTTTGGTCCTTTTTTATATCGTTGTTTTTTGTTACCTTTTTTAATGTCACCTTTCTCGCCGTTTCTTATGTACCAATTTTTGGTATTTTATTTAATCAATTTTGTTTTGTTGAAATTGTTTAGCATCTCTTTTACCGCCTTATTTTTGTCGTTTTTTCTGGTCTTTTGTTGTTATTTATGGTCTAGTTTTTTTTTTGGCTTCTTTTTGTTATCTTTCCTTCCGTCCCTTTTTTAGCATTTTTTTTTGTAGTACTTTTTTATAGTTTTTTTGCCTCTTTTTTTATCATCTTTTCTTCCACTTGTTCTTTTTTATTTTTCTTCTTTCCCGTTGTGTCATTTTTATCGCCTTTTTTCCACCTCTTTTATGTCCTATTTTACTTGGTTTTTATCAAGTTTTTTCTCTCTTTTTTTTTGATCACTTATTCTTTTGTTTTTTAATAGTTTTCCTTGCCGTTTTTCTCTGTTTTTTTGTTGCCTTTTTAAACGGCGAGTTTTTTGCTTCTTTTTTATTGCATTTTTTTTCATTTCTTTTTTATTGTTTTTTGTGTTGTGTTTGTCGTTGTTTCTTGGAATTTTTTGCTACCTTTTTGTCATTTTTTAGTCGGATTTTTTATTTCTTTTTTTTGTCGTTTTTTTTTTCTTTAGCCTCTTCTTCATGATATCTTCTTTCGCTTTTTTGAATCTTTTTTGTATCGTTTTTTTTTCGTCTTTTTTATTGTCACCTTTCTTGTCATTTTTCATGTAGCATTTTTTTGTGAAACCTTTTTTTTTCAATTAGTGTGACTAGTACTTTCTCTAGTGTTTTTACTCTACAGAGTGTATTACGAAAAAGTAAATTCCAAAAACCAAATTTTATAATTTTTCAGAGAATCAGTATTTGTTGGATTTAACAAAACCATGCTGATTAGGATTAATTATGCTGGATACAAAACGGGAAATAAAGTAATAAAAATATGTTTTAAAACGCCCACCCACCCTGTTTCTATTTCAGTGATTCATTTAATCTGGTTTGAATGAAAGGTGGATCTTATGGTGTACAGAAATAAAGTCATTACATTCAGAACAAAGCGGTTGGGCGGGGCTAGTACCTGCTAAGATAAGACTGATTTTGGTAAATGTACAATATTAAGAGTAGTCTAGTCACTTAATTGAAGAGGAGGTGGGTGGGTGGGGCTATTGCTTTCTAATAAAAGAATGTGTAAAAAAAATTAAACTTATCTCTCCTCACCCACCCGTTCTCATTTTGTTCTTCTGAAATAAGAAATAAATCTTATAGCACATAGCATAACGATTAGCTTTTTTCTTTTCATTTTTAAGAGTCTACGATCTATTAGTTCCCATTCTCACTCTACAAAATAACATATAAGTAACCCCGCCCACCCACCCAGCCTCCACTTCAGGGAATCATTTCATCAGGTTTGATTGAAAGGTGGATTGTATATTTTTGGAAATTTTACTCAACAAAAAAACCATGACTAAATTTCATGAAAAGTAGTCTTTAAATAAATTTGTTTAGCATTGTTTAAACAGTATAAATTATCTTCGCCGATTGCCACTACTCAACCCACAAAGCCATCTTTTGCACAATAACCGCAACAAATCACAAAATATGACTTTTGCATAAACACGGAAGATGTGGTTGGCGCAATAAAACCGCCGTTAAACCGCCACTTTACGACTTTATAAAAGACGTAAAAAGCCACACACAGCACTAGTTTCAGCCCCACTTACTCATTATTGTTGTATTAATATACCTACACTCCTAATGGTCGCCAACTTCCTTTCCCCGAACAATGCCAATGAAACCGATATTGTAATGACTTCATCGAACGACTTTTCCTCTCACTGAAATTGATTAACGTTCCAGTGAAATATGGCCAAGCTCGTACTGACAGCATGGCTGGCGATGAGCTTCTCCCTCGCCGCCGCCTGGCACCCCCGCGAGAACGAACTGGACAGCCACGAGACCACCCACCACCCTAACCCAAAGTCGCCCGCGAGCGAACTCCACGGTAAATAGCTCTCTCCGCCAATTTACGTAATTTTTCCCGCATAATCCCGTTTCCAGACGAGGTGGATATCCTGAAGCTGATGAACGTATCGGCAAAGGATCAGGGCGTGTCCCTCGTCGAAGGGCCGATTTCGAAATTCCCCGCTTACAAATTCCGCCTCCCTTACGGGAACGTGCCTTTGCCGAACTCCACAGTTGTAACGTCGGCAATGAGCGCTCCCGAAGGATTCACCGTCGTCTTCCTCTTCCGCCAGCAGAAAAACAACTTGGGTACGCTGATTTCGGTTAACTCGCCGGGAAGACTGACGCCTTGGTTTCAGTTAAATTCCAACTCGAAAATGGGTGTACTTATGCTTAAATACAGGGTGGAATCATCGCCGAAACTCAGACAAATGGATTGGGAATTGCCCAAACACCATCGCAAATCACCTCTAGCCGGTAAGTCTGCTAATACCTCGACGCGGGGCTTTATAAGCCCCCCGGAATTTAATGTAGTGTGGTTTAGTGTTTGGATAGGGCCGCTATTAACGTAAAAGCGTCTTAAAAGCTCCATGCAAATGTGGATGCGGAGGTCGGCCTTTGATGGAAAAATCTGAATATTTTCGCAATTTGCTGCGTGGGGCGATGGAGCGGCGAGGACGCTTCATTAAGACCGAGATAAAAGAAACGCAGTCGGTGATTTTCGAACGCAACCCACTATACACCGACTCGAGAAAAATCGCAAAATATTCAAAACAATTAAACTTTTAATTGATTCGGAGTTAGGCGACCCGGGCAAGAGCTGATCATTAGCGACGATTTGTCGGAGCCAGATTTTAATTAACTGAATTATCCGCACAAAGGCGTGTTTATTTGCTCTAATCCATTTCGACGGCTGTAAATAAGACGGAAAAATAACTGAAAAGGAAACGCTTCCATATTTTATTCTCGCAATTTCCTCTGTTTTGTAAGAAGCGAGCATTCGATTTCCTGCATCCGTACGACTATGAATTATTCGTTGTCTTTGCATTAAAGCGTTCAACAATCGAATCGAACACCCGGAGTTTACTAATCGGGGGAAATCTTGTAAACCGCAAACTCATTTAACGGTGACCGCGTCGCCAATATAACAATATAAATGCAAATGTTCCCTCTTGATTCACCCTCGACGTTTGTCTCAAAGGACCGATACGAACTCCGGGAGAATCTTCAACGATTATTAGGGAGGGAGGCTAAATGCCGATGCGGCTCAAGCAAAGGAATGAAACGTAATAAACATTTCTCCCTCATCGATTATTGCTTGATCACAGCTGACGCCTCGCGAGATTTTCGCAACCCAAAACCCAGTCTTTATAATTAGTGTTCCGGACTCGCCCCGTTTCAAGTTTCGCGATCCGAACTTCGGTCCGGTGTTTATTTTCCGTGTTAGTTAACTAAACGCGTTTATTTTTCTCTCTTTCACCCGGTGTATCGATTGCAGCGTGGACGTGGCTCTCAGTTAGCGTGGATTTCACCACCGGTATCGTCCGTCTCGATCTTGATTGTCAGCCCAGCCGATTCGAATCTCTCACTCCGGGAAATGACCAAAGCCATATCAGCATCCCACAGGACTCGCTTGTTTACTTTCGACAAGAGCCGGGCAGAAAGAAAAAGTTTCTGGTGAGTTTATCGACGATTCCGGGGGTCCGAGGACCTCCTAATGGATTATCCTTTTGTTGCAGGGATCGATGCAAGTGGCCAAAGTTCTTCCGTACGTTCAGCAGGAGCGGCTCTGGACCTGTGTGGAGATCGGCTCCAACCTGGCCCCCGAAATCCGCAAACCTCTTTTGTAATGTTGAGACTATTGTTGCACGAAGATTGTGATATTAGATTCAACGCCAACGAAAGGCAACTTATTTTCAAAGAGCATAGTATTACCGGTTTATTTATTATTGAGTGGCGACGACCACCATTGAGGACATTAATAAAAATTACTTTAACTCTGGTCTTTCATTATTACTATTACCATTGTTTAAGTTTATTATAGTTGGACAACCTATACGGACAATCACTTTCCCATGTAGAAAAGAATGAATATACATTTTACATCTCACTCGCTTCACTATGAAGTGGCGGTACCTTACGAAAGGAGGTAAAAAAAGTCTGTGAGCACGTGATGTCGATAAGGTAGTAAACGGACGTATTAATCAGTACGTTGTACAGGGAGCAGTCACAAAATAAGCAAACGTGCGTGTTGAAGACTTTACATATATGTAATCTATGTATATGTAGTGCATACCTGTTTCATGTGTGTGGTAGCACGTATATTTGCACAAAAACAAATAAAGGTTAAGGAAATAAAAATTTAATATTATCGCGATATATTATCCATAAACTGCATGCCTAACAAATATGCGTCCCTTCGTCCACTTTAAAGGCACGAAATTAAACGACCACCACTTTAATTAATAAGTAACAAGTCATTTAATTTGCCTCCAGAATAACTATGAGTTATCATCAAACTATGAACACCAAATTAATTCAATATGAACATCTTCTTACGTATTTTTTTTTATTAACAGTAGTCAAATCATTAAATACATATTATCTTTGAAACTAAAATGCATTTTATCACAAATTATTTACCACCATTTAAATATATACGATTTAGACATCAAGAAATAAATTTAAAAAAATAATAATTTAAAAATTGAAAAGTTAAAATTGAGAAATCGAAAAACTGAAAAATCACAAAATTGAACGAAATATCCAAAAATTAGGAAATTAAAAAATTGAGAAACAGAAAAGTCAAAAAAGCAGAGTCGAAAAATCGCAAACTTAAAAAATCTAAAAGTTGAAAAATCAAAAACCTGAATAATCGAAAAATTGAAGAACTGAAGAACTGAAAAATCGAAACTTTAGGAAGTGGAGAAACGGGAATATAAAAAAATAGATTTATTGAGAAATCCGAAAACTAGAAATTCAGAAACGCCAAATTTGAAAAATAAAAAAATATTAAGAAGAACTGAAAAATCGAAAAATCTAATATTTAAACATTGAAAAGTTAAAATATCCTAAAACTGAAAAATGGAGAAATCCAAACATCAAAAATTCAAAAAAATAAAAATTCGAAAATCTAAAATTTAAAAATCGAAAAACTGAAAAATCAACGAATCGAGAAGTCGAAAATTCAAAAAATTGGAAAATTGAAATATCGGATAAATCAAAAATCGAAACATCGAAAAATCGAGAAACCGAGGAGCAAAAAATCGAAAAACCAACAAATCGAAAAATCGAAACATTGTAAAATTCAAAAATTGAGACTTCGAGACATCGAAAAATCAAAAGACAAAAAAATCAAGGAGTCGAACAATCGAGAAGTCGAAAATCGAAAAATTGAGAAACCGAAATAGGCCAAAATCGAAAAATCGAAAACTTAAATATGGAAAAATTGATAAAACGAGAGATTGAATAATCAAAACATCGAAACATCCGAATTTCAATAAATTGAGATTTCAAAAAATTTAAAACTTCGGAAATTTGAAGAATTAAAATATAGAAGTGGAAACTCGAGAAACCGAAAAATCTAGAAATTTAAAAATTAAAATATGGAAAAGTCGAAAAATTGAGAAATTGAAATATAAAACAATCGGAAAATTGAAAAATCTAAAGTATAAAAAGCGAAAAACTGAAAATCCAAAAATAAAAAATAGAAAAATCTAGAAGTCGAAAAATCAAAGAATCGAAGTATTGAAAAATATCAAAACTGAAAGAAATATCCAAAAATTGAGAAATCTAAAAACCAATAAAGCGAAGTCGAAAAATCGAAGAATTGAAGAACTGAAAAATCGAAACTTTGAGAAGTGGGAAAATCAAAAATAGATTAATTAAGAAATCGGAAAACTGAAAATTTAACGCAAAAATTTGAAAAATTGAAAAATTTAAATACTGAAGAACTGAAAAGTCAAAAATCGAGAAATCGAAAAATCTAAAATATAAAACATTGAATAATTAAAATATCGCAAAATTGAAGAATCGAGAAATCCAATTCAATTTGGAAAATTGAAAAATCGGGACATTGAAAAATTGGAAAATCCAGAAATTGAAAAGCTCAAAAGAAAAAAATCTAAAAACCGAGAAATCCAAAAATCTAAACATCGAAAAATTCAAAAACTGAGACTTCGAGAAATCGAAAAATTGGAGGATCGAGAGATTGAGGAGTCGGAAGCCGAAAAGGAAAGTTAAAAATTGAAAAATTGAGAAACTGAACAATCAAAACCACTGAACATCTGAATTCGATAAATTGAGAAATTAAAAAATTGAATAATCGAAAAATTTTAAAAAAGGAAAACTGGAAAATCGAAAATTAAAATTAAAAAAATCGAAAAATTGAAAAATTGAAATATAGAAGAATTGAAAACTCGAGATATCGAAAAACCTAGAATTTTAAAAAATGAAATATTAAAACATCGAAAAGTTGAAAAATTGAGAAATCGAAGCATTAAACAGTCGCAGAATTGAAAAATCTAAAGTTTACAATAAATTGAAAATCCAAAAAGTAAAAAATCGAGAAATCAAAAAAAATCCATCAATTCAAAAATCGAAAAGTCGAAGAATTGAAATATTGAAAAATCTCATAACTGAAAGAAATATTAAAAAAATTGAGAAATTAAAAAATTGGAAAATTGAGAAATCGAAAATCTAAAACAGCAAAATCGAAAAATCGTAATATTAAAAAATCGAAAAATTGAAGAATTGAAGGTGTGAAAAATCGAAACTTTAGGAAGTCCAGAAATGGGCAAATAAAAAAAAACTTTAGAAATCGACAAACTGAAAATTTAGAAACGTGAAAATTTGAAAAATTGAAAAATCGAAATATTTAAAAACCGTAAAATTGAAGAGGACAAAATTGAGAAATCGTATCATTGAAACATCGAAAGATTGAGAAATCGAAAAATTAAAAAAATCGATAAATAGAAAATTTGAAGAATGGAAGAATCGGAGAAACCCAAAATTGTAATATTGAAAAATTGAGAGATTTAAAGTTGGAAAATCGAGAAATCGACAAGCCGAAAAATCTCAATGGCGTATTTATAAATCAGGACTATGCTACTTTTTAAAATTTAAATAACATTATAAATTGGAAAATGTTGATTTTTTTCCAAAAATCTTGATGTCTAAGGTGAAAACTCGACACGGATGCACATTTTATTTATTTATTTATTTATTTTATCTTGTTTTCGAAATATAATAAACATTTCAAACAATGTCTGTAACATATTTTAATGTAAATTATATTCATGTGGTTAACAAAATCAGATGTAATATTAGTGTGATTTTGACCTTATTCTAGATTTTATTACAGCAGCACGGCGTGTCATTTTTAAATTTTAGAAGTTACGGAAACTAGTTCAAGAAACAATTAGTTATCTCGTACTTTTGAAACAAAATCTACCAAAACGTCGGATAACAGCAATTGATTTTCATAGAAACAAACAGTCTTCAAAGCAACCTTTAACAACTCGATATTACAAACATGCCTCTTAAGTTCTTAATACGTTTTTTTTTCTGTCTTGTAATTATTTGTAATGTCAACGCCGAAAGTTTCTGTCATTCTGTTATTTACTTTGAATATATATTTTCATTTTGTGTTAATATTTTTGTAACACCACGAATCTAAATTTTACTTCAAATCTTGTTCTACTTTAATCTTGTAAAACTAAACAATTATACCAGTTTAAAAACCCTTGGTAAGTTTCTGTCAGTCTTCAGATATAGTCAAATAAAAATAGGCGTCAAATTCATTTAAATACAATTCTTTCTTATCACGTTACAACGCGTTGCTTCATATTTTTTATGTCAAGTATATTTTCATATTTTGTACATATATGTTTATACACATTACTGTTTACGGAACAATGTTAATTATGGACTTATGGATAACTCCTCGTATAAGAGCAGAGTGAAGGGTGTTTGCCTTTGCTAATGTTTGATGGCGCGATCTAATGTAGAGTAAAGCTCACTATTTAGGCGAACTAAAATTTGTATTAGGTTGTCCAACTATAATATACTTAAACAATGCTATTAAAATATACTAGGAAACAGAAAAGCGAACATGCGTTGTTGGTTGCATATCTCTGTCTGAAATTATGCAACCACCAATACATCATCTTCATTATAAAATATTTATTGAAAAATATAAATAGTCAAGAGTATAATACAACAGTGAGTATAAATTAATTGTCATACATTTGGATACGAGTCGAATTGTACTAAATCGTCTGCACTTGCACTTAAACTACGGTCTATTGCACTTTCGTAATCAGTTCATAATCGCTTTCTTCATTTAACATTTCTGGGCCTCTCCGTCACGGCGGCCGGTGTCACAACGGTCACCACCTAAAAACCACACACAACGCAATAAATCACCGTAATTACTCTGGAAATATGGGTCACGCGATGAGTTAATTGCCACGTTACAAAACACCGTGGGAAGTTAATTTCAAACAAAGCCATTTAAAGTCACATACTGTCGACATACCCTTGAATGTCCAGAAATAGTCTCTACGGTGGAGTTAGGGGGCGGCGTGTACTCAGACAGATCCATCAAACCCAGCAATGGGTGCTTCGAAGTCGGCTTAAGTGTCGTGGTCGTTTGCAAATTGTTAACTGCAACATTAAATTCGAATTAGAAACTAGGAAAGTTAAGTACTAAAAGTGAAATTTTCCAATTACGTCACGGTACTCACTCAAATGTGGCCACTCGCTAAACACCACAGTTAAAGGTCCTGGATTGTCGTTTGTATCCCTCTGATTCTCTGGGTCCACGCGAACCAAAAATTTCGGCGTGGGTACCACAGTTTGGTTGGTTTGTACCTTAGGCGGGTGACTCCAGGCGGTTCTAGGGGTGGTACGATAACTAAGAGGCTGCGGCGTCACTATGTACACCCTCTCTTTAGTTAGAGGCGAAACCGTCACCTTTGATGGATCCCAAGACGGTTTAATCGTGGTGGTACTCTCAGTCGTGATAATCAAATTCGTCTCAATGTCGTCGTCCACTTTGGTTTCTTTCTGACTAGAACCGGCTTGTTCATGGTCAAAACCACCAGTGGTGCTTTCGGGGTACTGCGTCGTGAAAAACTCATCCGGGATTTTTTTAGATGGCACGAACTTTGAACTGGTACTGACTTTCTCGTCGCGAATGGTCTTCGAGAAGGACTGTTGCGTCCAATCATCTATGTTATTCTGCAGCGAAATCACGTCGAAAGGTAATTTATCCGAAGAGTAGTACTCTTTCGTGTCTTTAAGCAAATCGCGGATGTTGTATACTTGTGTGGTTGGCGGTGTGAACGCTGTTGCTGTGATTTTCTTTGACTCAGCTGAGTTAAAATCGTCTATGAATTTGGACCAAACTTCTTCGGTTGTGGTTGGGGGTGAGTAAACCGGAAGCAATGTCGTGTATGGCTTGGATGGTACCATGCGTGCGACGTTGTTGTTGTTGTTGTTGTTAAAAGGAATTGGTTTCTTGTTACTGATGTAAGGTACAATGATTTGAATTTGTTTGGGTTTCTTGGTGGTAGAGGAAACGGGTTGTAGCCACGTCGTGGGAGCAATGGGTGGCGGTACCATCGAACTGGAAACGGAACCACCCCAAGTGGGTTGCCACTTGCTATAGTCCATCGGTGGAGGCGTGAATGTCTTATTTTGATTGGTACTACTTTCTTGTTGTAGCAGCAACTGTTTAATCAAATTCGACTGCAGAATTTCGTGTGAGGAACGTTCCGGAATATCTTGTATGTTGCTCTCTTGGAAGGTTACATTCACAGCACTGGCAGCTGTGTGGGTATCTTCCACAACAATAGGGTTCTCGCTTAGTTTTGAATTGTCTTCGTAGAACCCTCCAGGTCTGATATCCGATTCTTCAACAACAGTGTCAGGTTTCACCGAAACTTCCACCAAAGGTGATTGAATAACGTTAATTGGGTGTTCCACAGAAGCTAAAAAGTCGGCGACTTTGACACTCGGAAGCACCTGGACGTTCTTAGCTTTCACTTCAAAGTTAGTTCCGTGTTGAGGAACATTATCCCGGAATTCTTGATAGTTGTGGATTGGGGCAACCGGATAGGGCCCTAAATTGGGCAAGGGAATCGGCATTGACGATAGCGGTAGTTGTTCAACTGGTGGCAGATACTCCGGTCGGGTTTGATAATCAGCGTTGGGACCCACCACTGGGGTGCCGTAGCTATCAGACGGAGGCGGTGGTGGCGGCGGTAGATAAATATCCACACTGGGTGACGTTGGTAAGGAATGGTAGTGTCCCGTGAGAGGGGGAGGGTTCATACCAATGGGAACATAGTTCTGAGTGACTGGTTTCAAATGGGTCACTGAAGGTGGCTTCAAGTTGTGTATGGGTGAAAGCTTGTCGGGTCTGGGCCTGAAAACGGGTCTTCGGTGTGCAGCTGGGGGTGGCGGAGGCCTCAAGTCGAAGTTGTAGTGGGGGGGAGGTCCATACTGTGACGAAGGAGGACCATATTGGGGCGATGGTGGTGGAGGTCCGTACTGTGGTGGAGGAGGACCATAGTCTGCCGATGGGGGTCCATACTGGCTGGTGGGGGGTCTCAAATCCTCGATATGACTAGACGGCGGTACGAAGTTGATGAGGGTGTTGTGGCCTACGTTGGACGCTACAGGGATCCAGGGGGCCTTGTTGCAGGCGTTGCAGCCGGTGTCGCTTTGGTATGGCTGCGGAGGTAAGTATTGAGGGCCACCGTGGTGGCCTTCGGCAGGTACAGGGTCGGGCGAAGGAAAGATCCAGTTCTTCAGTCTTGAGAAAAACGACGGTTGGTCTTTGTAGGGGGACGATTTCTGGAGGATGAGTTTGTCGGGGGGTTTGAGGGATATCGTTCGGTCGTCGGCTTCTTTGGCTGCGGCGACGTATGTGAGCAGGAGCAAGTAAATTATCTAGAAGCAAAAAATCGAAATTTTTGAGACACGTCGATTGACAGATGCTGCGTGGAATTTATCATCAATTAAGGTTTAATTGGCAGAAAAAGGACAAAATAAATCAGTGTGACGAAGGTCGAGGATGGAGAAAGCCGGCGCAAGAAATCGAGGTTGAAGATGAGCTGTGTTTCGATAAACGGATAATCGATTGATGAAAATTTTTCGGTTGCGTAACTGGATCTCCGCAAACCCAATTTTCTCTCTTTCCCAGTCCCGACAATAAAGAAAACTAAGTTAAGAGCGTAGTTTCACTTTCAGGAGCGTCAAATTCGCGTGCGCTCAAATTTCCCACACAACTTTCTGTGCAGATGAACCACAAAAAGACAAACGTGTACGGGACACGTCTTTACCATACGCATAACACAGTTAGACGATTTCCTTTCCCATTCAGCTTCTCGGTTATCTCGAAAACTTTCTTCAGCGAGAAGATAACCCGATGTACAATGAAGAACTACTTCGCACATGGAAGTGGGCCAACTTATTAACGCCGACATCTGTTATGCGGTAATTTATTATGTTGTTTCGGTGTAATATTTACAAGGAAGAACGAGAATTAGTGCGACAACTAATGAGCAATTTGCTCACCGACAAATCTTACGGGACGTCACGCATAATTGTTCGGCTAATTGGCGGCCGAAAAGTCCACTTTTCCCACAGTTTCCAGATTTTTGCCAAAATGTGGAACGACGGACATAAGTCACCTTTTACTTCCTAAACGCGAATTAATTACGCCAAGTTTTCGCGTTTTTATGCAGAATCGATTTCGTTGGAGAGAAAAAAGTGACTTTCACTGGTGTAATTGCCGCTGGTTTGGAAGTCGTGCTGCGGGAATTCAAAAATAAAATTTTTAACGATAGCATTGTCACTACTGAGTATTAATAGTTTGTGCTCCTACGCTATAAAATTGGCGAACTTGCCACTCGTTATCAAAACAAGTTTTGGGAATTTCACGTTTCATGGATGATTTCTGAAGATATGAGCGTTTTAAATTGGACTGACACACAAGAGCAAATGTGGCATGAAGTACCTACATAAACGCACATGTTTCATATACCCACGTACTAATGAATTTAAATTCGTCGTTACAATAAAGTGACTTGACTGGGTTGAATTTCAAAATTGTCGAAAATTTCTCTCAACCATGAAACCGGAAAAGTCCCTTTTCACTCTTAACCGCCGTTTTCCTTTTTCGTCAAGTGAAACCACTTCTAGATTTTGGCTCTTCAAATATGTAAATTGCGGCTCGTCAAATGTGGTGTGAACCGCAATTTTTTGTTTGCTCGGTTCATGCCATATAAAGATTTCTCTTGACCTTATTCGAGCGCCGATAAAATTGTTTATGGATTCCGAAGACAATACGCGTAATTGACCGCAATTTCGATTTTTGACGCAAAATGCGATTTTGAAGAGGGGAAACCGACACTCGGGTGGCTTACTGAGCTGGAAAAGGATGTTGATTTAGAGGAATTTTTTGGTAAGTGGAGTCGACTGCAGGCGCATTGGAGAACAGCGAAAGAAATAGAAAGTCGGTTAAGAAGACGCTGTTTTTGCGGTAATTTAATTAACTCGGTTGCAATTAAGATCCTGCGGCTGGGTTTAATGTGGTGGCGATTTCGAAAATTATGTCATTTTAGAGGTAATTTGCTTGATGGAGATGGAATTTAATCTTTAATCGGGTTATTCAAGCTTCCGTAGTTTTTACTCGAGCGTGACGGGTTTCGGTGGCCGTTTCCTGTAGATGCCTATGTTTGGCGTAGTTTACAGTGTGATGAATATTCATTGTCAAGGTTGGAGATGCGCCGTCTCGGACAAAAAAAGAATTTCATTTCTTGACCAAACACATTTTGTTATTTTATTTATTTTTTAAATTAATGCTCAGTTGTAACAAATCTCAATTTATTTATTTATTTACAAGAAATCACAATAGAAAGAAAAAGTAAATAAAATTCCAAAGTCCGATATTTAGGTACTATTTATTTCCAATGACTCAGTTTTCACACTGATGCGTTAATAGCATTATCGGTCTTCAGCCTAATTAGATTGTTAGATAATCAAATCTAACTTCTTGCACTTTTCTAATGTAAAAATTCGGAATTCTGTTGTTGTTTGTCAAAATTCTTATATCTTCACATTCCACATTGTATCAATATAAAATCCACTTTTTATCCAATAAAATAAATGACCAGAAAAAGATCCTAGTAAGTGGGCGGTTCCACTTTGAATTTTTTTAAGTGTCGATTGACCAAATAAAATTCCATTTTCACCGCAGAATAAAGTAAGCCAATGAAATTCAAAAGTGGCGGTGGGTGGAGTTAGTTTTATTTTATTGCCTAAATTGCACTGTGTATTATTATAAAATGCATTTTTTGTCGAATAAAGTGATGATCAGAAAGAAACCCGGGTGGGTGGGCGGGGCCACTTTGAATTTTTTTAAGCTTAGATTGGACAATTGACAACATAACATTCAATTTTCATCTCAGAGTGAGCAAAGTAAGCCAATGAAATTCAAAAGCAGCATTATTATAAAATTCACTTTTTGTCCGATAAAACTTTGGGACAAATGGGACTTTTAATGATCTTTCAATGTTTCGTTTCTGGATGTTTCAGTTCAGTTCTTCGGTTTTTCAATTTTTCGATTTTTAAATTTTAGAATCTTCCAATTTTCAATTTTCCGATTTTTGATATTTCAATTTCTCTGTATTTCTAGAATTTAGAAAATGTAAAGTTTTTCGGTATCTTGATTGTTCAGTACGACATTTCCATTTTCAATTTTTCAAATTTTTTATTTCTCGGTGTTTTAGTTTTTGGAATTTTTCAATTTTTGGACTACGATTTTTTGCTTTTTTTTCAATTTTTCGATTTTTAAATTTTAGAATTTTCAAGTTTTCAATTTTTCGATTTTTTAATATTTCAACTTCTCTGTAGGTATTTCAATATTTAGATTCTTTAATTTTTTGATACATATGTATTTCATTTTTTGAAATTTTTAAATTTTAAATTTCAGTTTTTTGATTTTTCAGTTTTTCGAATTTTTTAATTTAAGTTTTTCGATTTCCCGATTTTTCGACTTTTCTGCTCTAGATTTTTCGGTTTTTCAATTTTTCCATTTACATTTTTTTATTTTTTGATGTTTCAATTTTTCGATTTTTTGGTTTTTAGATTTTTGGTTTCATCGATTTTTTTTAATTTAAAATATTTCAATTTTTAACTTTCGATTCTGGGCTATTTCTCAGATCTTCGACTTCACAGTTTTTGGATTTTTCGATCTTTTGATTTTTCGTCTTCTCGGTTTTTCAATTTTCTGTTTTATAAAATTTGAATTTTTCGACTCTTGAACTTTTCGAATTTTCAATTTTTTGATGTTTCGATTTTTTGATTCTTCAGTTCGACATTTCTATTTTTCAAATTTTTAAATTTGAGAGATTTTAGATTTATCGGCCTTTCCATTTTCTGATTCTTCAATTTTCTTCGGTTTTTCAATTTTCCAGTGTTTCTGGTTTTAGGATTTATCAATTTTTCTGTTTTCAGTTTTTAAAATTTAGAATTTTTCGATTTCTGGATTTTTTATTTCAATTATTCGAAATTTTCAATTTCAGGTTTTTGAGTTTTTTGATGTTTCGATTTCTGGATCTTTCGATTTTTTGACTTTTCTGTTTTAGATTTTTCCATTTTTTAATTTTTCGATTTCTCATTTTATCGAGATTTCAATGTTTCGATTCATCAATTTTCCGATTTTTCGATTTTTTAGTTTTTAATTTTTGGATTTATCTATTTTTTAGTATACAATTTTTCATTTTTTTTAACTTTCGATTCTGGGCTATTTCAATCTTTTGGTGTTTCGATTTCTCGATCCTGCGATTTTTCGACTTCTCGGTTTTATATTTCACGGTTTTTCAATTTTCCGATTTATAAAATTTTCGATTTTTCGATTTTTCAACTTTTCGGTTTTTCAGTTTTTTGATTTTTCGATTTTTTGAATTTAAAATTTTCAATCTTAACTCTTCGACTTTGGGTTATTTCGACATCTCGACTTTTCAATTTCTCGATCTTCAATTTTCCGAATTTTCAATTTTCAGTTTTTTTAATGTAATGTTTTTCAGCCTTTTGTTGTTTCGATTTCTCGATCTTTCGATTTTTTGACTTCTTTGTTTTAGATTTTTCGGTTTTCAATTTTCCGATTTAAATTTTTTTATTTTTCGATTTTTCAATTTTTCGATTATGCAATTTCCCGATTTTTCTTCTTTTTAGTTTTCAGATTTTTGGATTTATTGATTTTTTTTGATTTTTAAAATTTTTAACTTTCGATTCTGGGCTATTTCGATTTCTCGATTTTTCGACTTCTCGATTTCTCGATCTTTCGATTTTTCGACTTCACCTTTTTAGATTTCTGATTTATAAAATTTTTGATTTTTCGATAATTCGGTTTTTCAGTTTTTTGATTTTTAAAATTGTTCAATCTTGACTTTTCAGTTTTAGGTTATTTCCACTTCTCGACTTTTCAATTTCTGGATATTTAATTTTCCGATTTTTCAGTTTTCTGATTTTTTAAATTTTGAATTTTTCGATTCTTCAACTTTTCGATTTTTTGATTTTTCGATTTCTCGGGTTTAGATTTATCGGCCTTTCATTTTTCCGATTCTTCAATTTTCTTCGGTTTTTCAATTTTTCAGTGTTTCTGTTTTTGGGATTTTTCAATTTTTCGACTTTTCGATTTTTGCTTTTTCGTTTTTTCAATTTTTCGATGTTTTGATATTTCAATTTCTCTGTTGTCAGTTTTTAGATTCTTTAATTTTTCGTTACACATTTTAATTTTTCAATTTTTAAAATTTAGAATTTTTCGATTTCTGAATTTTTCAGTTCGACATTTCTAGGTTTTTGAGTTTTTTGATGCTTCGATTTCTGGATCTTTCGATTTTTTTACTTTTCTGTTTTAGATTTTTCCATTTTTTAATTTTTCGATTTCTCAGTTTATCGAGATTTCAATATTTCGATTGATCAATTTCCCGATTTTTCGATTTTTAGTTTTTAATTTTTGGATTTATGGATTTTTTCTGATTTAAGATTTTTGAATTTCCAACTTTCTATTGTGGGCTATTTCACTTTTTCGGTGTTTCGATTTCTCGATCTTGCGATTTTTCGACTTCGCGGTTTTTCAATTTTCTGATTTATAAAATTTTGGATTTTTCGATTTTTCAATTTTTCGGTTTTTCAGTTTTTTGATTTATCGTTTTTTTTTTTAATTTAAAATTTTCAATCTTAACTCTTCGACTTTGGGTTATTTCGACATCTCGACTTTTCAATTTCTCGATCTTTAATTTTCCGACTTTTCAATTTTTTGATTTTTTAAATTTTGGATTTTTCGACTTTTTTAATTTTGTTTGTCAATCTTTTGATGTTTCGATTTCTCTAACTTCGATTTTTTGACTTCTCTGTTTTATATTTTTCTGTTTTTCAATTTTATTTTTTTTATTTTTGGATTTTTCAATTTTTCGATTTCTCAATTTATCGAGAATTCGATGTTTCGATTGTTCAATTTACCAATTTTTCTTTTTTTTTTTTAGTTTTTAGATTTTTGGATTTATCGATTTTTTTTTTAAATTGAATTTTTCAATTTTTAACTTTCGATTCTGGGCTATTTCGATTTCTCGATTTTTCGACTTCTCGATTTCTCAATCTTTCGATGTCTCATTTCTCAATTTCAGTTTTTCGGTGTTTCGATTTCTCGATCTTTCGATTTTTCGACTTCTCGTTTTTAGATTTCTCGGTTTTTCAATTTTCTGATTTATAAAATTTTAGATTTTTCGATTTTTCAGTTTTTCAAACTTGTAAATTTTAGATTTCAGTTTTTGATTTTCCGATTTCTCGGTTTTAGATTTATCGGCCTTTCCATTCTCCGATTCTTCAATTTTCTTCGGTTTTTCAATTTTTCAGTTTCTGTTTTCGGGATTTTTCAAATTTTCGATTTTTTGATACTCCAATTTCTCTGTTTTCAGTTTTTAGATTCTTTAATTTTTCGATAGGGACATATTTTAATTTTTCAATTTTTAAAATTTAGAATTTTCGATTCTGGACTAATTCGATTTTTCGATTTTTCGGTTTTTTAAATTTTAACTTTTGGGTTTTGGGTTATTTCGACTTCTCGACTTTTCAATTTCTCGAACTTCAATTTTTCGATTTTTTTAATTTTATAAATTTTGGGTTTTTCGATATCTGGATTTTTCCGTTTTTCCATTTTGTCAATTAGTCGGTTTTTTGATGTTTCGATTTCTCGTTCTTTCAAATTTTCGATATTTTAATTATTCGATTTTTAAAATTTTACATTTTTCGATTTTTTTTTATCGAGATTTCTCATTTTTTGGATTTTTCAATTTTTCGACTTTTTGATTTCTCGATCTTTTGATGTCCCGTTTCTCAAGGTTTACTAATTCCTCGATATTTTTATATTCTCCAATTTTTCAAAATTTCAAATTTTAGCTTTCATTTCAGAATTTTCGATTTTTTGGTTTTTCGTTTTTTCAATTTTTCGAATTTTAAATTTTAGTTTTCAACTTTTCTGGATTTCACTGTTTTTAAACGTAAAATCCACTATTTGTCCAATAAAATGATTGATCAGACCGAAAACTGGGTGGGTGGGCGGGGCCACTTTGAATTTATAAGCGTAAATTCGACCACTTGACAAAATTAAACCAAATTTTCATCTCAGAGTAAATAAATACGCCAATGAAATCAAAAAGTGGAGGTGGGTGGGGTTAGTTTTACCTTTTTGTCTACAATCCAAACCGGGTGGGTGGGCGGGGCCATTTTATTTTTTTTTTTTGATTTGTGCATTTTACAGAATTTAATTTTAATTAAGAGAATTTTAATATTTTAAGAACTTGAAAAATACATTTAAGGTGGTTAAAATTTTACCCAAAAGGTCCAGATTTAAGCAAAAAGAATAAGAATTAAATTTCGGGTTAACACAATAAAATAAAATTTCACCAGTTTTGGTAAAAAATAAAATAAAGCATTAAATAAGATAATAATATTTACATTTCGCATTGTTAAACAGTCTGACACTATTTGACGAATTTAAGCATACATAAATAATTAAACAATACATATTTTTAGTAACGAAATTGTGGAATTTTTTTAACTAATCCCCCGTATCTAACATTAGCCCAAAAACAAAGCGGAAAAATTCCAAACTTTATTTAATTATTATTAGAAAGCTGAATTTCTGTTTCATTTGACTTGAATAACAAAAAGGACTAAATCTCTGAAACAGAAGCCCCAATCAATGAAACATGTACGAGAAAGTGATAAAATAAAATAACGACAAAAGAGAGAAGTAAGCACAAGCAATTAATTAGTAACACGGACAATTAGAGAAAATCCAGCAATTAAAACAAACTCGTAAATAAATGAAGCAATAAAACATCGACACTTGTTGATCGAGTCGACGCCAATTTTCCTCGAGAGCAAGAACTGAAAATGATAGTGGAAGCACCACAATCTTCAAGAAAGAAAAAAGATACAGGGAAGAGTTGTTCCAGTTTTCTTGCGACAAAAAAACTTCGACGTTGAAAAACACGTGTAAACAAGAGTCCAAGTCGGATATTGGTTCTTGGAGTACCATTAATCTCCACCCATTCCAGCGACAACTCGAATAATGACATTTCGTCGCTTAACGTAGCTAATTGAATAATGGTTAGTCTCGTGTCAATAAAAAATGAGCGATGGGTGCGATAGTCGGTGAAACGTTCCAGAAAAAAGTGGCTCACCCATTGTTCGAAACCTTACCCAACGAAACAATACCAAGAAAATATTTCCCTAGCACCTGACACACAATCCGATAATCGAACTCACCTTGTATCTCGCCATGGTGGTTATCACTGTTATCAGTTCCGGGTATGGCACATGGTCCAGGGTGTGCGAAAGCGCGCCAAAATCCTAAGTACTGAGACGCCGAAGAACAGTCATTAGAACACCGATCGCACTGCACTGCACCGAGGCGCTTTCCGCTCAATGGGTGAAAGCATGGGTGATCGCCGGAAGAACAAATGAAATGGGAATGTGACCGTGTTATACCGGCTCTCTACCATCAAATAAGCGGACGAAGATGGGCTCGGGTGTTATATAGCGCTGACCCATATCGAGGTACCACTACCTGTGAGGGATGAGCAAATTCACTCTCGAAGGTATGCGTGGAAAAGTGTTTTATTGCGTGTCTGGTATGTGGAGATTGGTTCCGACGTTTATCTTCTGGGGACGACAGCTTCGATTGGGATGTTACGCATTGTTCTGGCATGTTCGATTTACCCGATGTTTGCCAAGGGGATTTATTTTGTTAATCTAATTTTACAGTCGACGAGCTTGGGCGGACGGAAACTTGCCAATTAAGGAACGGAGTTGCAGATTTCGGGGGTCCTGGAACTTTCGGGAATTTATCGGGTGTTTGTGGTCAGTGATTATACGCACTTTTTAAAAGGTTGTCAATTTTCTGTGGATTAGGGAAGTGATTTATGTAACGACAATCAACAAGTAGTTTCTCCGCAAATGAAGAAAATGTGTTAAAACATTATATCATCCAATATTTAACAACAAGTTGAGACAACAATTTTGTATTCTGACTCGTCATCATTGACATTTCTTTCTTAGTTTCTCCGAGTTTATTGCGAAGTCCCGCTTTTCTCCATTTTGTAAATTGGGAAACTTCGTGCTGAGAATTTATTGTTGTTTGACTTTGTTTGATTAAAAAAAAGTCGGTCTAAAGAATTGATACAGTACTTCCCTCACTCTTTAGAGCAGTGACCTGATATTTGGTTTATTTCGACACAAAAATTATTGCTTTGATATTTGAGAATTTTATTTTTTGTATAAGTAATTCTAAAAACTATGAATGCACTGATTAACTACAAAATTTTGAAAAGACGTCATCAATTTTTTGGGTGGGGTTAGTTTTACATTTTTGTCTAGATTCCAATATTTATCAATCTAAAGTCTCATATTTGTCCAATAAAATGACTGATAAGAAAGATAATCAACCACTTGACAGTAAAATTCAGTCGTCATCTAATTAAAAAACCAAAAGTGGGTGGGGTCATTTTTACCTTTTCGTCTAGATTCCAATATAAAACCATAATAAAATGAGTGATCAGAAGGAAAATCGGGTGGGGGGGGCGGGGCCACTTTGCATTTATTTAAACCTAGTTCGTCATTTGACACAATAAAATTCAGTCTTCATTTAATCAAAAAAATCAGTAAAATCCAAAATCGGAAGTGGGTGGGGTTAGTTTTACCTTTTTGTCTACAATCCATTGTGTATCAATCCACTTTTTGTTCAATAAAATGAGTCACCAGGAGGAAAACTATGTGGGTGGGTGGGGCCACTTTGTTTTTACTTCCCGAGCGTAAGCAAAGGAAGTATTGTAATCGAGTCCGTCGGCCGACTCCCTACTTTTTTATTAGACAGATAATCTCCGAAAGTACTCGACCGATTGTTGTGAAATTTTGTACTTATATTAAGAATATCATGTAGATGGTAAAACGCTAACTAAAATTTGTCTAATCATCCCCACCACTAATGCGATGACGTCACTTCAAAATTGTACATAGTAAATGGGTTTTCAATTGTATAAAATAACATAGTCCTACACATTTACATTTACAACTCTGAATCGACTTTTCACCCGAAACGTCCAGATTTTTGGAAAAAAAATCAAAATTATAAAACAACATTTTGAAATTTAATTTTTAATCTGCTAACCAGAATGCTTTGAAATGTTGCAGATGTTTTAAGGCTATAAAAGCATCATAAATCTTTAGTCAAAAAATATTTGCTTATCCCCTCCAAAAACTTGATGACGTCAGCTCAAAAGTTTGTGGAATAAATCACATCTAAAATGTACAAAATATGATGAATCTGTACTTGTGATCTATCACTCCATTCATATTTTTTGGATTTGCATATACAGAGTGACTCAAAAAAATTAATGAATGCGTAAATATATTTTATTGATTTAATCAGGAACTACAAAACGGAATGCTCTGACATCTTGCACATGTTTTAAGGTTATAAAGAGCATAATAAATGTTTAGTCAAAATATATTTGCTTATCCCCTCCAAAAACTTGATGACGTCAGCTCGAAAATTTGCTGAAAAAATCATATCTAAAGTGTACAAAATATGATCAGTCTGTACTTGTGATCTATCACTCCATTCATATTTTTTGGATTTGCATATACAGGGTGATTCAAGAAAATAAATGAAAGCGTAAATTTATTTTACTGATTTACTCAGGAACTACAAAACCGAATGCTTCGAAATCTTGAAGATATTTTAAAATTATCATAAGCATGGTAAATTTTTGATCAAAACGTATTTGGTCGTCCCCCCTAAAAAATTTATGACGTCACCACAAAATTTTGCTGAATAAATCCTATCTAAAATGTACAAAATATGGTGAGTCTCTTCTTGTGATTTATCATTCCATTCAAATTTTTTCGATTTGCATATACAGGGTGACTCAAAAAAATTAATGAATGCGTAAATTTATTTTATTGATTTAATCAGGAACTACAAAACCGAATGCTTTGAAATCTTGCAGATGTTTTAAGGTTATAAAGAGCATAATAAATTTTTAGTCAAAATATATTTGGTTATCTTCTACAAAAAACTGATGACGTCAGCTCAAAAGTTTTCCGAATAAATCGTATCTAAAATGTACAAAATATGATGAGTCTGTACTTGTGATTTATCATTCCATTCATATTTTTGGATTTGCATATGCAGGGTGACTCAAAAAAATTAATGAAGGCGTGAATTTATTTTATCGATTTAATCAGGAATTACAAAACCGAATGCTTTGAAATCTTGGGAATATTTTAAAGTTATTATAAGCATGGTAAACTTTTGTTCAAAATGTATTTGTTCATCCCTCCTAAAAAAATTGATGACGTCACCCTTAAATTTTGCTGAATAAATCCTATCTAAAATGCAAAAAATATGATGAGTTTGTACTTGTGATTTATCATTCCATTCATATTTTTTAGATTTTCTTAAGAGGTGGTTCAAAAAAATTAATGAAGTCAATTTATTTTATTGATTAAATTAAAGGCAACACTTATTATTAGTATTACACCCCAACCAACCCAATTTGGTAGACACAAAATTTGTTAAAGGAAAAACTCGGTTGAAACATAAGGGTAGCACGCTTATTTACATCGACTTTAACATTACAGACCTGCATTTGTTTTATGCGTTCACTTGATTCCGCGAATGTGAAATAGACATGTTTATAATCAACCAATTGTGAATTTCACCGTCAAGAATTAAAATAAAACCCAATGTTTTATATAATAAGCGGAAGTCGAAGCAATAAAACCGATGGTCGTTTTGTTTACAGTTTCTCTGTTTGACTCTCACGTATGCTGTTACGCCTGTCATCTTAAATTAAGAATGTTTATACATACACGATTTTCAGTTGCCTCTGATACGTATACGTGAGTAAATTGTTTCGTTATTTTATTGATTATTACAAATCAATATTCAAAACGACCCAATTCATTTTCCCGAAAATTTGAGAATATAATAATTTTATTCTTAGTATTACACTACATCTATCCCAACTGATATACGTGTCCTTGCAAAAATGTTGATGACGTCATCGCAATTTTTTTTTAAATTCCCACTACAAAAATGTAATGAGAAAAAAAACACAAAAGGCATGCAGTCGTCAAGTTTCCGACAGCGAGGGAAGTACTGTCTAAACTCTTTAGACCATTTTTTTTAAACCTAGTTCGTCAGTTGACACAATAAAATTCAGTCTTCATCCAATCAAAAACCAATGAAATTCAAAAACGGAGGTGGGTGCGGTTACTTTTATTTTTTGTCTACATTCCAATGTCTGTCAGTATAAACCCTTTTTTGTCCAATAAAATGAGTAATTTGAAAGAAAACCTGGTGGATGGGCGGTGTCACTTTGAATTATTTAAGCGGAGATTTGACCATTTGACAAATTTAAATGAATTCTTCACCCAATCAAAGAAAGCAATAAAATTCAAAAGCGGAGCTGGGGGGAGTTAGTTTTACCTTTTCGTCTAGATTCCAATGTTTATCGGTATAAATTTTCCATTTTATCCAATCAAATAAGTGATCACAAAGATTCAGTTTACGCTTAATCAGTCACATAAGACAATGAAATTCAAAACCGAAGGTGGGTGGGGTTAGTTTTAAGCTTTTTATCTAGATTACACTGCTAGTCATTATAAAATGTACTTTTTGTCCAATAAAATGTGTGACCTGAAAGAAAATCGAATGGGTGGGCGGGGCCACTTTGAATTTGTTTAAACCTAGTTCGTCATTTGACACACTAAAATTCAGTCTTCATTTAATCAAAAAAACCAATGAAATCCAAAAACGGAGGTGGGTGGGGTTAGTTTTAACTTTTTGTCTACAATCCATTGTGTATCAATCCACTTTTTGTTCAATAAAATGAGTCATCAGAAGGAAAACTAGGTGGGTGGGTGAGAACACTTTAAATTTTTTTAAGCTTAATAAAACTTTGGGGCAAATGGGATTTTGATTTCTCGATTTTTTAATGTTTCGTCTCTCGATGTTTCAGTTCAGTTTTTTGGGATTTTTCAATTTTTCGGCTTTTAAATTATAGAATTGTCAACTTTTCAATTTTTTGATATTTCAATTTCTCTGTATTTCAATTTTTAAATTCTTCATTTTTGGATACATATTTCAAATTTTTAATTTGTAAAATTTAAAATTTTTCGATTTCTTGATTGCTCAGTTCGTCATTTCTATTTTTCAGTTTTTCAAATTTTTAAATTTTAGATTTGAGTTTTTGATTCAATTTCTTCGGTTTTCAATTTTTTAGTGTTTCAGTTTTTGGGATTTTTAAATTTTTCAGAATTTTCAACTTTTCAATTTTTCAATTTTATATATGTATTTCAATTTCTCTCTATTTCAATTTTTAGATTCTTTAATTTTTCGATACATATTTCAATTTTTAAAATTCAAAGTTTTTCAATTTCTCGATTTTTTAGTTCAAAATTTCTAGTTTCAATTTTACGATTTTTTAGATTTTTGGATTAATCGTTTTTTTTTAATTTAAAATTTTTCAATTTTTAACTTACGGTTCTGGATTATTTCGGTTTCTTGATTTTTTTCTTCTGGACTTTTCGATTTCTCCATCTTTTGATGTTTCATTTCTCAGTTTCAGTGTTCCGGTGTTTCGATTTCTCGATCTTTCGATTTTTCGACTTCTCGGTTTTAGGTTTCTCGATTTTTCGACTTCTCGGTTTTGGGTTTCTCGATTTTTCAATTTTCTGATTTTTAAATTTTGGATTTTTCCATTTTTCAGTTTTTCAATTTTTCGATTTTTTTAATTAAAAAATTTTCAATCTTAACTTTTCGATTTTGGGTTATTTCGACTTCTCGACTTTTCAATTTCTCGATCTTTAATTTTCCAATTTTTCAATTTTTTGATTTTTTAATTTTGATGCTTCATTTCTCAATTTCAGTTTTTCGGCGTTTCGATTTCTCGATCTTTCGATTTTCGATTTGTCGGTTTTAGATTTCTCGATTTTTCAATTTTCTGATTTATAAAATTTTACATTGTTCGATTTTTCAGTTTTTTGATTTTGTTAATTTAAAATTTTTCAATCCTAACTTCTCGATTTTGGGTTATTTCGACTTCTCGACTTTTCAATTTCTCGATTTTTAATTTTCCC